AATCATAACTGAAGTGCTGTGTGCGCGGCTGGCGACCAGAGAAGAGATTGGGAGGGGAGGAGACCAGCAGCCAAAAACAATCAAAATATCCTGGTGTGACTTTCCATGAAGGGTGTGTGCGTGTGCGTGCGCGTGTGTGTGAGTGTGTGTGTGTGTGTGAATGTGTGTGTGTGTGTGTGTGCACGCGTTCATGTGTGAGAATACATGCCTTTCTATGAAGTCACTATTTGGCACATTGCTCTGCTGCTCCATTGCAGTTCATTGGTGTGCTGTCACAGGTAAACAGTGCCCTCTTTGGTCGCATGTAGGAACAGCAACTCAGAACAAGTGCAGACAGGAAAACAAGTGTTGAGACAATGAAAGCAGAGGAGAAAAAAAAAAATCACAGGTTTATGTCACTGAGGTAAAACATAACAAGAGGAAAAACACATGAGTTGGGGTGTTGGGAGACATTTGCTCCTCAGACTGATCAGTATTATTTATTATTTCGTAATTATTAAGTAATTTCATTTATAGAAATCATAGTCATATTTAGTGAATAAATACCAACTGGAATGGCCGATTATTTATCTCCTCAAGTGGTGAGCAAGTAATGTGTTGCATTCCAATGTGTATGAAACATGTAAACACGAGAAGCACTGCGAGTTCAACTGGTTGTGTTTTTAGTTTAATCGTTATATTTTTTTAAAAACTGAACGTGCAAATCAAAATGCCTCACACCTAAATAAAGTCGCTCATCTTCTCACCAAAAGACACCCTTCATTCGGCCTTGTACAACCTATTATATAAGCACACTGTCTCACAGGATTATATTATACTGATTCAGGTTGACCGGCTCACACAAGATCGTGTGCAACCTCTAAAGATTGAAAGTTCTAAATTTTAAAACTATGAATGGGAACAGAGTATGTTTTTCAGAAGGATGACCTCATCCTGATATTGCAGAGATGCATTCTTACAACGAAGAAAAAAACACGTCCTCCGTGAGCCGAGGCTGCCATCTATGGGCCGACACGAGAACTTCTACTACGCCTCGCACCAGGTGATGTCATAGTTTGAGAAAGAAAGAAAGAGTTAGACATGGGGATGAAAGTGCGACAGGGGAGGGCAGCGAGTGTGAAAGAGAGAAAACAGGCAGGAAGGATGAGAGAGAAGGTGATGTCATGTTTTCAGAGCGGTGGAAGGCGTCTTTGTCCAGATTCTTTCATTCAACTCTGCAGAGCGACACTGCGGATTTAAACAACAGACACTATAGAGGTAGGATATTCGAATGACGTGATTTTGCGCAGCGAATATTCTGCCTGGCCAACGACTGCAACATTCAGGAGCACATTCCAGACCATTCCACACTCTCCCGACAATTTCATGCCATTCCCGACAAGTAGACAACTGCACTGCGCACCGTACGATAAGATTCACAACAATTGCCGGCTGTAGAAAGTGTAATCTCCCCCTGATTTCGGCCATGACAGTCGATTTCTCCTTTAGACAATCTCACAGTGAAATAATGAATTACCTCAAAGAAGGAGAGAGTGAGGAGGAAGATACTGGAAGGAAACAGAAGATACAAGCAAGCAAACAAGTGGAAAAGACAGATTAAAAAAAAAAAAAAGCAGATGTGTGGAGGACAGATACCAAACTAATCCTTTAGACACTGACCTTTAAAGTACTTTGTGAGAAGAAAGAAGCAGTAGGGCTGAAAAAATTATCGAAATAATATCAAAACGGCAATATCCAAACCACAAGAGCTGCCACTTTTTGATAAAATGTCCAAAAACATACTAAATGGAGCATCGTGGTGCTATAGAGATGCCCACAAATCATGGTCTGCAGACATAAAAGAAAACACTTGTTTGGTACAGAACACATCATTTGTTTCAGTGGAAAATCATGTTGCAGTGTTTTCGGATCATCCCTGTTCTGAAGCTTATGAGTGGAAGATCAAGGCGACATCGTGGGCTTAAAAAACGCATTAATTTAAGTGGTAAATGATGGGAAATTGCTCTTTTTCTAAGCTATTTTGTGTACAACTCGCTAGTAACAAAAGGTGTAAAGACTCCACTTTATCATTCGTATTCTATCTGTATTTTAAATCTTTTTAACAGTGATCCGATGTAATGCTAGCAAGCTGAATAAACAGAAGCTTCACCACCACCAAATCTATCAAGAGACAGACCAATCATCTGAGTTGCATGAGATCTTGTCTTTTATAACCGCCCGTGACCCCACAAATGTTCTTGTTTTTTTTCCTCCCTGTGAACATCACTTGAGCTCCTCAGCTGTCCTGACTCTAGATTTTCCACTAACTGTTCCAAACAAACCCTGGTTCTCTGACAACCGAGTGAGTAATGCCGCAGCACTGTCCTCCCCACTCACACGTACGTGGAAGAAATATGCTTGAGAACTCTTGAGGAAAACCAAGGTTATTCTGGTCCAAAACGTTTTGGAGCTGTAGCTCCTCGTCAGTCAGAGAGGAAACTAATCCAGGTGTCAATAAACATGAGTGTATTTAAAAACATGTAATTTATTATATGTTTATGCCCAGCATCCTCACTACTCTAGAGTTTTAGAACTACTTATAAAGTGACTTGTTTTAGTTTGACAAGTCCTGGGTTGCATTTAAGCCTGGAAGGAGACTTCTGAAAACAGTTAACACCCTGATTTGTCACGTTGCTAGTATGTGACCACTTTCTAGGGGGAAAATAAGGATATATGCCCTGACTACCAGTGGTTAATTCAGTATAGATAATGAATTAAGCTACAGGCCTCGCTGACCTTGTTGTTATGCTAGCAGCTGTTGTGCAGTTTAAGAAATCATGGCGCTGAAACGCCTGCCTGATCATTTTTCTTTCAAAAAGCCGCTTAAAAACAAAAACCTTTCAGTGTGGATGCAGGTGAAGGTGAACACCAATTCCTACCGGCACAGAGGTAGACACCAGGTGAACAAGTACATATCAAAACATCAAAAATGACTACAGCCTCTTGCAAATGCATGTCGTCATGCAAAATATATGCAAATGGCAACCGAAAGGCCTTTCTTCTGCACCTTATGAGAATGTTAAATATCTCCAAACAGAAAGCACTAATATGTTGTTTTATTTCATGTTAAATTGTCTACATTATAAGATAAATAAAAAGAGGTGTAACATGTTGTGTAAGTGCAGCTAGGGGGGTTCTTCTACTAAGTTACAAAAAATTAAACACTTTGTGGAACCAGTATTTTTATGTGGCTGCTGCACATTCGTGTTTTAACAAGTGGAGGAGACAGACACAATCCAGAGATTCCAAAAAAATCTAATATCCATAACAGCAGGATTTAACCTGATTACCTGCGAGTGTATTGCATTACACCCTCTCGCATCTATATCTGCTGAGGACCTTAAGACAACCAGGGAAGCAACGTGCGCTGTAATCACATTGGGAAACAGACAGATATTTCCCATGCAGAGGTCAACGTAGGAAAAGAAGACGACGCTTTGAATACAAACAGCAGGCTCTTACTGCAGCCTTTCCACTAAACAACAGTCAAAATAGACGTACGTTGGGACAATTAGCACACTAAATGTCAAGCCCTAGGAGATGCCTGAACACAGGGTCTGAGTCGAGGGGGCAGGTTAGAGACAACAAAGTGCAGAGAGAGACGTGTTATATCAGACGGGAGCTCCTGGGACGGAGAAAACGGTAAAACAAAGAAAGGTGGAAAAGATAAAGAGATCAAGGGGTCGAAACTACCACATGAGAGGGAGGGAGGGGGAAAACAGTTGGCCCATGTTCGGGAGCAAATTGTGTCTAGTGTGTGTGTGTGTGTTTGTGAGTGAGTGAGTGGGTACATCTGCATTTTTGAAGTGTGTGATTAATGTCCTTCTATGGCTGTGGAGACCCCATGGAGAGAGAGAAATGCCTCAGGGTTTAACTCGCTCTCTCTCTCTCTCTCTCTCTCTCTCCACAAACACACAACTGCATATAGAAAGAACCGAGGAGGGCATGAAGGCACTGCACAACCAGCCACACACAACCTGCACAAGAAGTCCATTTTCTTTGTGACTAATTGTGAAAAACAGGAAGCCATAACGACACACACACACACACAGAGCAGGAAACCCAGAATATCACATTCAAGAGCCAACTACTATCCATTACGCACATTTTTCAAACAATGCATCACACATCTCCATCTGATTCTTTCTGTCTGTGTTGGTCTCTCGCCTGTACACTCACAATGAATCCCTCTGGTAATCTAGAGCACAATATGTCTGGCTTCGATGCAAAAGACATGCAAAGCTAAGGATGAAAAGTAGTATTCAATATTGCTGAGTGTTTTTTTTGTTAACCTGTAAGGCGTATTGCCTTTTCCGTTGGACCACTCCATCAAGTTAAAGCATCGAAACTAGAGGTTTAGATTCAAAGGTAGATATAAACTGAATGTGGTTCATCATGGTCGAAATCTTCACATGAACCATTTTAAACATACAATACATTTGCTTGGATGAGTTTGTTGAGAGAAGTGCAAAAGTGAAAAATCCCCCACAGGAGTAATAACCAAGGTTCACCTCACTCGTAAGGCAACATCGCCCCCTTGTGTTTAATAGTAACACTGACACCAGTCCTACAGGTGTAAATTATATCACAATAATGATGTTTTTTTTTTTTACCATTTCAGATATCCATCCATCCATCCATCATCTATACACCGCTTAATCCTCACACGGAGTCTATGCCAGCTGACTTAGGGTGAAGGCAGGGGACACCCTGGACAGGTCGCCAGAATCACCAATTAACCTCAACATGTTTTTGTGGGAGGAAGGAACCTGGAGAGAACTCACGCTGCACGGGGAGAACATTCAAACTCCACCCAGAAAGATCCCAGACGTCCTCACCGGGACGCAAACTGGCGACCTTCTTGCTGCGAGGCAACAGTGCTAACCACTGCTCCACCTTGCAGCCCGATTTCAGATATTATTCATATATTTATCTTGATTGCATCCGTCTAAAATCCATCCACTGTTTAAATTTTATTGTAGAAATAATTTTGTATTATATTGCTCAGTGAACTCCTGACGTCATGCAAATTGTGGTAATTAAACAGTCTCTCACCAGTCATCTTGTATCCGCTGGCAGCGAGCTGTCCAGCCATGTACTCTCCATCTGAGTTGTTGTGACTGCAGCCCCATGTTTTCATCCAGATCTTTTGGGTTCCAGGGATCAAGCTAAAAATTAGCAACAAAAAACATGGCTGTTACATGACATATTGAAATGCTAAAAGGGATATCTAAATGTACTATCACATCATAAAACTCAAATCATGACTTGTCAACTCGCACAAATGTAGTGGAACAGACTATGAAGATGCTTTCACATCTAACTTGTTTGATGCAGGCTGTTTGCAAAGCTGTCATCCAAAGAACTAGGTCAAGTCAGCTTGAGGAAATGAGTTTTAGGCCTTTTTTGTGGTGCCTTTGTCGTGTGAAAGCAAAGAGGACACACTACATGTTGATAGTAGATCTATGTTATGGGTGATTTCACCTGCTTCATAAGACATACAGAACATAAAGCAACAAAAACACACAGCTGTGGCTGTAATTTGGTTTTCCTCAGCAGATCCATTTAGTGCTCATTGACTGGATGACATCAGACCCACCACATGTCTTTCAGTCTATATGATTACTTGGAAAGCTTAAAACTAAACAGAGTGATAACAGCAGCCATCTACTCTCACATGGAAACTGTTCAAATGGTTAAAATATCTGAACAAGCGAACACTTGATCCTCTTTTATCCTCGCTGATAAAAGTGAAATGCTCAAACAAAAGCCACAAAATTTAGATTTTTCATCATTTAAACAACATTTAAAAAACAAAACAGGCCAATCACAGAAATTCGCACTTTCAGATACATAAAAGGATAATTATGAACTCAAGATTAGGTGCCAAAAAGTAGAACCTCCTTTGGAAGTGACAATGGGAACCTGTCTTATTTAAATCTCTCATATCTAGAGTAGGGTTTTGTCTTTGCTATTGAGATGTGCGGTGTCATCATGCCAAAATCAACAGAATATATACAAATAAGGAAGGAAGGAAGTGGTGGATACCTATGACTTTCGGAGAGGATTTGAAAAAAATAAAATGACAATCAATGATTCCACTGCAAGGAGTAGCTACAAGTGTTATAGACTCTGGAACAGCACCATCCAATCCAAGAGCAGGTCATCAGATGCAAAGAGAAGTCCCCCAAAACCAAATGTCACCACGGGATCTGTAGGGAACTCTCACAACTACTCGTATCTAAGTGTACGCATCTGCAACCAGGAACAGACTGTACATATCTGACATGTGAGGAAAAAAGAAGACTTCACAATCAACAAGAGAACATCATAACAAAACTACAGTTTGGAATAATATACTACGGACAGACCAATCACAGTCAGAGCTGTTTTACCACAGCAATAGTTCAAATGCGTGTCGCAGACAAAAGATTTGTTTAACTGTCTCAGGAAGTGGGCAGCTTGCGGTCATTGATTCAGCGATAAATTCTGCATCAATTTAAATCTCATTGAAATGTTGTGGGCAGGTTTGAAACAGGCATTTATGTCATATTTCAGCAGACATAAGCTACTGGAGGACAACACAAAACACAGACTAGAGGTTGTTTCTACCAAAGGGTCAGTACTACCTTCTTATGCCAGGAGTGTACTTGCTTTGCCCCCAGAAGAAAAGTATATGTTGACATTTTTCCTCAATAAAAAAAGCTAATTTCCCCTCAAGTATACGACCTTGATGTGTAGCCACGGCTTTAAAGAGGATCAAATCTTTGCTTGTCCAAATGTGTCAAAGAAGACTAGCACTTCCATGGGATGTAACTATATTTTCTCTCAAACACTTGATAAAACCTGTCGGCTTGGAGCTCCTCGTCGCTCAGCTCTTTCTTCCTCCTGGACCTCGGTATGATACTCTTTCTGGCAGACTGTCTCTCATGAGGAGTCGGGTCGCTGGATGACACCATGTCCTCGATGTCTTCAATCAGAGAGTCACAGGCGGACGGCATAGTGGGCTGGAAATCAGACAGAGCTCTGGTCAAACACAGCTACTTCAGTGTCTCTCTCAGGTAGTCCAGACCTGTAAGTAGTTCAGATCCGGATTACCAAAAACGAAGCCTGACAATGACATTTGAGATGACATAAAGCAAAAATAACTTCATAAACATATGCCTAAAGTACACTGTGACTTAAATTCTGGCCAAGTACAAAGCTATGATGCATGGTGTGTTGAGGCTCATTGAATTTCTGAAGGAAAGCATCAATATGAAGCTCAAATGACACATAATGCTACTATACTTTTGGTTTGCAAGAGCAACAAATAATATATCGGTCAACTTTCTTGTAAATGTAAGGTCAAACTAACTAGGAACCCTACATAATGTAAAGAGGAGGCAACAATGATGCTTTTATTATTAATTAAAGCTGGAACAGTTAGTTGATTTATCCAAATCAACTGACAGCAAATGTATTCTTTATTCATGTTTAGTTATTGGAACTTATTCCTGACTTTGGGTTAACTCTGATAGTAAACTTGGATTTTGAACAATTAGCAACACAAACGTTTTCGTACTGGCAGATATTTTCTAAACCAGTGGATTGATAAAATAATTTGTACTAGAATAGAATAATCAAAACAGAAACTTTATGTTTGTTGCAGACTTTTTTAAAAAACTGTTTGGTTTCTGGCTCCACAAACCAGCTCACTGTTCATTGTTGTTGCTGCCTGCAGACACTCATTCCTGCAGCAGAGCTACATATTTCAAATGTTAAATAAATCCGTCCAGACAGCCTGACACTTCTCCACACCCAGAGCTCTTGTATTTTCATGCACAGGTGAGTTGTTTGGCTTTGTGGCTGCAAATCATAAAGAACACTTCTGACCAGACTTCTGGTGCAGCTTCTGAGTGAACAAGGATCTCACTGGTTTCCTCCAGCTCTGTGCTGACGATGTTGCTTGGAATTAAAAAGAGAAATCAGCTTGATGTGTCCGTCGTCTGCATTTCCAGTCCTCAACTGTGCCAGTGTCGTTGTGGAAGACCTTACAAGTGCAGCATGGCTCATTTGTGTCTCCTTTCTATACTCAGCCTTGCCGTGGTTTTAGACTTTTAAGGTGAAACAGCTCCTTCTTCAGCAACCTTAACTTTTTAATCACTCGGTTTTATTCTTTCAAGACTGCTGTTTCTGTAAATGGCCCTTTTTTTTTTTATGGGAAAACATGTTAAATTAATTTAGCGCTTCATTTTTAAAACTCTTAAATACTGAGAATATGTATAGTCTCTATGACAGGTTCCAGGGGTGGACACAGAGAATACGAGCCTCTCCGTACTTAAAACAAGTGCATTCGCCCCCTGAATAAAAATAAAGAAAGAAACAGAAACATTTTTCTTAAAAACTGTGGTTGCATGAGTTTATCCTTCATATGTTGAGAGTTAAAATCACACAATCACTGACTCTGCCGTGGAAAATGTATAAGATGCATGTAGATTCCATGATACTTTATCACCTGGTTGCTGAATTTTGTGTTTTCTTTTACATAAATATGCATTTTAAGCATAAACTGATGCAGAAATGGCCCAAACTGGTGCACACAGAGTCCTCGAGAAACGCTGGGTGTACCAAGATTCACCCGAATGCAAGAAATGAAGTGAAAGTTTTAAAGTAAAGCACATGTGTTTACTCACACACACGTATTTACCTGTAATATTAAATGTTCCTTGTCTTACCTGCATAACAAACTACAGAATTAGAGGCTGTGATCGTTCAAACTAACTGTTCATTAAACATAAAACCATGTTAATTACGTTTAAGTCATGTTATTAGCTCATGTTTTCTTATTTTCGCCTGACTTTTAACTGCAACCGAAATACATTCACACTCCCGGTTAATTAGCATTAACGTCGACTGCTACAAATGAAAAATACGTGTGAAAATGCTTAATTGAGCAGATATTTGTTGACCTACAGTTTGTTTTGCTGGTAACATGAGCTAGCTAGCTGCTAGCTTGGTTAGCCTCATTAGCGAGCTACAACCCACGTGCCTCTTATTCTGGACAAACAGTCCAACTAAGATTCTTTATTAGTGTCTTACCTGAGTCGAGATGTGGTTATAAGTTCAGAAAAATCTCAAATCCGATTCAACGATGCTATAAAACTAGAATATGATGAATATTTACAGCACAAACACAGTTGTCACAACTCTCAGACTGCCATACTTGTCTGCAGCTACGGGAGGCGAGGAGGGACAAAAAGGACCGACGCGGAATTTTCACATTTTTGGGTAATGTGTGCATCAGCTTGACCTTCAAACATTACAGTGGTGAAAAAAATAACAAGAAATAAGATTAATATCATCTATGGTTTTGTGTGTGTGTGTGTGTGGTTTTTAAACATATGAAGCTTTGATAAATCAATTGAGATTAGAAAACATCTTTGATTATTTACATATGTTTTATTGTATTTTGATGATTTGAGCCTCACTTTTAGACTAATTTTAATTACTTCATTTGCCCTTTTGTCTTTTTTTTATTTGGCCCACCTGTCTGAATAAGAAAAGCTGCATCCGAGTCATTCAAACAGTGATAATAGAACTAATTAACTTAATAATACTAAGGAAGTGGATTTTCTCCTAAACTTAATGGTTGAGTTTCATTTCACAAAGTCAAAATGCTGTTTAAGCAGACATCAGTACTCCCCTAAAAAAGCAGAAATGGCAAAAATATATTTTTTGAATGTATCAGATTCACTGATATTACAAAAATGAAACGGACACACAACATCACAAACAACAATCAAACCACTGATCCTGGTTCAGTGATATACGTTTTATATATTTTCAAATGAAAAAAATACTATTTACTCTAAGGCTTGGCTGAATACTTGATGGCTACTGATAGAGCTGAATCAATCTGTCCTGTAAAACATTTTTTAATTAGTCCTGAAGGAAATTCTTTTGCCAGATATTGCTCAGCAAAAATAAAATGACATAAGAAATGAAGTTCCTGAAAGAGTTGAAAAAATAAAATAAAACAAGAACGATACATTACTGAAATAAAATAAGTAAACTAATAAGTGAAATAAGGCTAGAACAGAAAAGTAAAACGAGATGCTGGCAATTATACTGATGTAATAATATCACACATAATAATGAAATATTGCACCTGAACAATGCAATAAAGATAAAATCTTGCACATTATGTTGCAATACTGAACATGAAATATTTCAGACGTAATCAAAATGAGACAAATGAAACTGAAATATTGCACAACGCTAAAAATATTTCACCTGAGAATTTTCACATTGCACGTGAAAATGAAATACAACACGACACAGAAACTGTTATTACAAACTATAGTGGAAAGTAATATTGCAAATGATATTGTTCACATCCAAGTATCGCATGTGTCAGCTGTCACTCCTGTAAAAAGAGTTCTAGTTTGAGTTCTAACCTGTGTAATTTTTAAATTTGTGTATACTTCATAAGCTACAGTGCAAACTAATCACAAAAGACAGATCATACACGAGGCCTTTCCTTATTTATATTGCCTTTATTCAAATTTTCAATTACAAATGCCCAAAGTACAAAAACAAATCCATTTATCCCTCCCTCCCCTCCCCCCCGCACACAAATACAACTCAAATTCCTCATTTAACAGATGTACAGAAACAACTTATATAACTGAATAACACACATCAAAAACATCAAATTAGTTTATCTTAAACATTCAACAGCACTTTCACCCATGCGTTCAAATTGCAAATTGCTCTTTTCTCTGTAGTTAGTGGAAAACAGGCAGCAATACCATAATTTTACAGTCAATTCTTTCCTATCAAATAGTTAACTTTTCACATAACCTTTACAGAATATTTACGGATCAGTATATCGTATTTGGTAACAGCTTAAGAATAACCATAAGAAAATAGCAGGAAAAGAAAAAAAAAAAACAAATGCTGTTTCAATCTTGACTATAGTTAACACCATATTTAGCCTAATGATAATTTTCTGTAAGATCTAATCACATATCAGAATCACACATTAGAAATGAATGAGCTGCAATTTTAATTCACCCATTATACAAGACACTAGCTTCAGCGGTGCATTAAAACCTTTAACATTCCATTAGAAAAACTTATGGAAAGGTACAAGCTTTCCAAAAAAAAAAAAAAATCCTGTTTCCGTCACGTAAAAGAGGATAAAATATTTCAACCAGATTCCGACTGCTTGAAACAGATGAGAAAAATAGAGTTACCTGTGGAAATTGTACAAAGTGGAAGTGTGGTCAGTGAACGAAATGGGGAGGAAAATGAGCTCGACTTTCCAAAGAACACATGTAAACAGCACGGATATAAATATAGAAGTTGTACTTGGTGAATCCGGACATTTTGTGTGCATTGAAGTAAAATTTCGGTCATTTCTGACAGTGGCACTGTTTAAACTGAGCAACGAGTGGTTGAGGTCATTTCTACAACTTCAACGATCCGTTTTAGCTTTAACTTCAGTTCTCTCCAACAAAGTGAAATCGGCAGAAATATATATATTTTGTTTCCTTTTTAAAAAGCATCACACTCCCGAACAACATTCCAAAAAAAACAAAACGGACACACGGTGTCACAGAAGCAAAGCAGACGACAATCAAATCACTGATCCTGGTTCAGTGGTGTATGGAGACACAGCAGAGTCTCCTCATGACCAGTGAAGGATTGTTACGCAAACTATGGATGAATGACTGCATGAAAACACATGCATTATTATTATTATTATTATTATTAGGGGTCAAAGAGATGCTCTGGGTTTGATCCAAAACAAAAAAGAAAAAAAAGAACTAAATAACTTATTGAAATGATACCAAAAAAATATATTGCAATACATTGATCCACTTTTCTACCCATGCACCCCAATAGTCAAATTTAAAACCGGCTTGTGAGCAATGCTATGAGTGGAATCTCGCACGCGTGAGAAAGACAAAAGTGCGATGTAATATTCAACGTCACTGCTAAATAACACAAAGGGCAAATTCTGACAGGAAAAAAAAAAAAAAAGAAGACTCATCCACACTACGGCATTTACCTCTACGCCCTATTACTACTGTCCAACGTTAAGTGAGAGGTAGCCTACAGTACCTTGTGCACTGAAAAAATTAGAAAACTATACATCAATTTACACATGGCAGGCTCACTCTTTAGCAAGCTTGATCGGACAAAACTCGTACACGCTGCACACGCAATTGCTCAAGCGCACATCAATCAAGTCAGGGGTTGGGGGGGGAGTCAACAATAACAGCAGCAATATTCCCTGTGATCTCTAAAAGCCAGGTTTCAGGTAAGATGTTTGCATCTGGGATGTAATGATAGAATTGACATCACATCCCTTCAGCTTCTATTTTAGCTTTTTCCTGACGAATCGTTAAGTGGCTACGATGCTAAAGCTTGGCTGCACTGAATTCAGTTCAATTACAGCTGTATGTGAATCTTCTTTTTTTCATGACATGTCTCAATTAGGGGCCATCAGGTCCGTGATGTCAGTTATTACTACGGTATTAAAATCCATTAAAATTCAACGGCTATTGAACTTAATAAGACCAATACTCACCAAAATTGCTTTCCACACACTGGATAAGCAGCGTGCATACGTGATTCAAACTCAAACCAACGTATAATTGCACAGCACAGTTCAAGGAGGCGTTAGAAGAAGTTTGGTTATGGCGACTTCTGCTGATGAAGATGGAGCCGACCGGTAAGAAGCAGCAACATCTAAGGATCTGAGTCCTGAATTCACAAAGTATCAATAAGAGTTGATTTTGTTTTTTTTTGTTTTTTTTGCTTTAACAGGTCAGATTTAAACATCTGCTGGTTCAGCGAAACCCCACATTACCCAGAAGGGATGGCTTTTATGGACTCTGTTAGCAACTAAACAAAAGTTTCTGGGTTATGTGAGGTGAGGCATCTTTTCGCATTCATCATTGCACTGTAAAAAAATGTGCAGTTAATGACAGACTGATGTTTAAGAGCATTTAGAGTACACACTCCTAGTATTTTTCGTTGCCATTTCATAGGTTCAATTTGAAAACGGGTACTCAAAAACATTCTTCCATGCAACCTTTCAATAGGGAGTAACCCCTAAATGTATACAGTATAAACACTCTCATTAACTTCAGAGTTAGAAGGCCAAATCTGTAACAGGTAGCCTGACAAGTGCCCGAGTAGGAACGAGACAGGTGGCCGAAGCTTCAGCCTGCCCAACCAAACCATAGCTGTAGTCACGAGTGCTGTGCATCACAATCGCCCTGTTGTCTTTTTTTTTTATAGTTATTTTTAATTTCTAAAATGCTCTACATTTGCACACAAAAGATTTCTATTTAACAGTCAGCAGTATAAGCCTTCATTCACAGATCATTGGTGTAAGAGAATGAAAACAGTAAAAAAAAAATCCTTCAGAATCTCATCCACACAGCACCTGGCATTACCACGTCTTAACCAGTCAGGATGCGTTCAGATTTAACACTTCCCTGCTCTACTGATGGCTTTGGATCGTCATGCTGATATCTTAAACCAGACCCGGGACATGCAGTAATGCCAGGTGGTGCTGGAGTGTTTTCCTTACAGCTGTTCTGTCTTAGTTGCTCTCTCTGTACACCATACAGAGAGTATAGACACCCTTCCTGTCCCCATTTGTACTTCACCAACCACCTGTGTAAATTACCATCCACTTAAAAAAAAACAACAAAAAAAAAAAGATGGCAAAGGCTTCACACTGACCAGGCCACTTATCACTCACACCATGAAAGACCACGGTGTTCGGTCCCTGTGGGACAGAAAAAAGCCCTCAGTGTTTAATCTCCATCTATTACGTTTAGCTTATGCTAGCTGCACAGGAGATCATCCAGACCAAGTGAAGGCATTTTATCGAAGTCACAGGCGTCAAACAAGTCGCTAATTCCCTGATCATCTCCCAAACCTAGAAGGTAGTCGTCTTGGTCCAGGAGAGGAGGCCCAAGGTTTAAGAAAGGCCCCAGGGATGAAGGGATCTGATCTTCTGTCTGCTGGAGGAGACTGGTGTACGGGGACGAGATGGGGGAGAGAGTTGTGACGGAGACAGCTGAGGAAGAGGAAGGCGGAGCCAGGAAGGAGCTGGGAGCGGGAGCCGTGCAGCTGGGATCTGTGGAAGGAAATACAGAGTACTGGTTAGGATCTGGGCTGCAAGGTGGATCGGCAGTGAGCACCGTCACCACAAGTTTGCATGTTCTCCCCGTGCAGCGTGGGTTCTCTCTGGGTTCTCCAGCTTCCTCCCACACAGTCCAAAACCATGCTGAGGTTAATTGGTGATTCTAAATTGTCTGTAGGTGTGAATGTGAGTGTGCTTGGTTGTCTGTCTCTAAGTGTAGCCCTGTGATAGACTGGTGACCTGTCCAGGGTTCCCCAGCCTTCACCCTAAGTCAGCTGGGATAGACTCCAGCCCCCCCATGACCCTAGTGAGGATTAAGCGGTGTATAGATAATGGATGGATGGTTGGTTAGTATCTCTACGCAGCCATGTAGCACAGACACAAGCTAGTCATTGAACATAGAGTGGGTCACCAGTTTTTCAGCCTGATTATAGTGAATTTTTGTACTGGGGTGTTATGTTGTCCATGACAATGTTTAGTACATTACAAACTAATGCCAAGAGTCTTAGCTTTACTTCAAGCAAGCAACAATATACATCTTAATGATCCCTGAGCCAAACAGCATAAACAGAGAGAAAAGACAACAAGAAGCTGTGCACAAGAACTAAGACGCTTTGGTAAATGTCACCTTGACTGTCTCATTTAGAAATAAACATCAGTTATGTTGTATAATAGAAGTCACAATGAACTGAAGAGAAAATAAAGCAAAGTAAAAAAAAAAAAAAAGCACCATGTGTAAACTACTGCTGCACTCTGAAACAAACCTTGAACCACTTTGAGGAAAGGCGAGTTTCCGTTGATGTCCGTGTTGCCGTTTTTTATAGGACTCCTGGGGTCATTCTCCTCATCCGGGCACAGCAGCACTTCTATTGGACCCTTGGTGCTGGTTAGGTGGATGGACAAACTCTGGAGGGATGAAGTTAAATGACAAGTTTAAACCAGAAAACCGACAGGCCTGGCCCCGACTACAAAGACGACCAGCTCTACTGAAAGATACCAAACGTCAAGTGTCCTCTCCAGTGTTGTACACCAGTGTTTGAGACAGTGCATCGCCTGGGAGCTTCACTACATTAACGACTATCATCACAAACAGAAATATAAACCAGATACTTCAAAGTTAACTCATAAAATATTCCAAAATGAGCTTGATGACAACAGTCTTGGTAAACATGACATTTATGGCTGAAATGTTATCAGAAAATGCCTTATCTGATGCAATCTGTAAGAAATATTGGCATATACTCGGGTTATTTGGACAACAACTACTATTCTAAGAGGGGAAAGGCGCTTTCTTTGAACTCCAGTGTAGGTATAACATGCACCAAATGTTCTGGAGTGTGTTGATGTAATAGTTACTAAAAACTAGTGACCCTGTGCAAACTAGGATTCAACCGATAAGGGTTATACAGGTTAGATGCTGATTATTGGCACTCAAATATCAATGACCAATATTTGGAACAGATATACTGGTTCGGGGTAATCAGTGACTTCCTCATAACTTAGCCGTTAGCGTAGCTTTAGCCACGGAGAAAGAAGCTTGTTTCCTGATTTGTGAAGATCGCTGTGTTTTCTTGTTCAGTTTTTGCAGGTTGTATCTCTGCTAATAAGATAAGTCCGTCCATTAGAGCAGATTGTTCAAGCTGATCTTACTTTAGAAAGATACTACGGTACTTCAGCTAGCATTAGCCTAGCACCGTCAGCAGAATAGGTTCTAGCTGCACCGACTCCAACAAGTGAATTATTTGGGAACTTTCAGTGCAACAGGGAAACTGGGTATGCTTGTGCAAGATTGCGGTGTTTATTACAATATCAGCAACATCTGCTGCCTCGTGTTTGAAACAGCCAATAATCAGTCTATTCCTAGTGCAAACTGAGGTTACAGACCCTGACAAAATCTCAGCCACTTCTTTCCCAAAGGTGAAACAAATGACTCGCTAGCTGCCGTTACTGATGCACTGATTTTGTCAGGGATGTTCCTGTTAAACACTTCTGTCGGACACATTGGCAGCATTTCACAAGGTTACACACTGCAGAAGCTTTGGGAAATCTGTCAGTTATTCTATGTAGAAGCCAAAATACAGCCAACATCTAGAGCAGGGGTGTCGAACTCCGGTCCTCGAGGGCCGCAATCCTGCAAGTTTTAGATGTGTCCCTCTTCCAACACACCTGATTCAAATGATCAGGATCGTTATCAGGCTTCTGCAGAGTTTGATGATGAGCTGATCATTTGAATCAGATGTGTTGGAAGAGGGAAACATCTAAAACATGCAAGACTGCGGCCCTCGAGGACCGGAGTTCGACACCCCTGATCTAGAGTATAGAAAACCAACCTTCCAGTGAATCACACAAACAGACCTATTATTGGGACACATTTGCCTGCTCAGCAATAAAGAAGGGAAGCAGAGAGAAGCAACGACCTCAAACTGTTTTAAACCCCATTCAGACAGGATAAACTTACCAGTTTAACACCACAACACTTGATTTAGAGTTGAAGTAATACCAATTTCTCCTGAGTAGGAGACCAGATATGAAACTGTTTCTTAAAGGGGAACACAAGTCATACGTCTGATGACACGTCCGCAAGAAGCAGAAGTTTCATCAGGATAACAAACGATGACAAATGCAGTTTATCAGACAGTCCTACAGACACATATCAAGCACAGTCCTGGGGTAAAAAAAACTTACTTTAATAAGGATCCTCATTTAGAAAAAAAACAACATTGTAGTGTAGGACAAGGATTATTCTGTGTGTACAAACCTCATCAGGGTCCGGCACTTCCAGTTTGGTGTCTGTGGGCGCTTTGACGACAATCACAGTCTGGTCTCGGAGGTTTCCCAACTGTTTGATGTCTTGATATGTTACATAGGAGTATGTGGAGACAAAGGGGTTAAAGAAATAACATGGTATCTCATATTAGCAAAGTACATGTTAACACTGAACTAACGGGTATATGCTTTATTTATTTTTGCAATATCCAGTTAAAAATGATCTAACCGAAGCATCGTGAAGTGGCTGTGATCAACCCTGCATATGAACAAGTTACAAACTCAGCCACCAGTTTGATAATATTAACCAAATGGATTATGAAAACCTGTTCCCAAAAGGTAGCTAGAAGTTATTTTAAGTTTTGGGATCAGCTTTTAAAGACAAAAAAAAGGAGAAAAGAAGAAAGGATATTTCTGGTTGCCTGGTAACTCGCTCATGTGCCTCATATCCAGGCTGCATCTCTGGATGAGCTGCTCGAGTCTCTGCTCTTCTTCACCGAGCGCAGAAACTTCCGCCGTCAGTCTTTGTCTCTGGGTCAGTGTCCCCTCTACCTCCAGCAGACTACAGCCCCTGTGAGAGACGAGAGCAAAGAGAGTTAGAATAGATTCAGCATTCGTGTAGGCAACTATTTTAGCGCCTCTTGCTCAGTGTTTGAAATACTTGATACAAAAGCTGCAAAAAAAAGTTCTGGTCTGATCTCAGTTTCCTGCAATTGCCATGTGTGAGTGAGTTGGTAGAACACAGATTTAGTTTACCATATTTACAGACTATCTTTTCGATAAGTGCATACAGGATGGAGAGACAAATGTCCCTAAGTTCCTCTTATCCTACCTCCTATAAAGCAGAAACAACAATGAAGAAAAGGCTTTCTAACAGTAGTTTGATGCGAAAGTCATCTGTGTACAAGTGACCCACATGGCTGAATTCTATTTCTAGCAACACCCAAACTTGGGTCAACCTCATCGTATAGAAGGAAAAGAAATCGAAAGAGTTAAACTAGTCAGCAGTAGTTACCGATTACTGAATAAATGAGGACACGGAGTGAGTGCAGCAGTTAGGTTTCCTCATATGACAGCAACTGAAGCTAAGATGAAGGAAGGAGGCCCAGAGAAGAGCAGTCCATCACCATATGTTCTTAAAGTCTTCACACACAAATGTCTTGTATGACAGCCGGAGGATCAATTACAGCGTGTGTCCGAGTCCGCAGGTCGACCAAGTGGATCATTTACCTGATGTAGAGGGACAGATTGACCACTTACATCCACTGAATGTTGTTCTTCGATTTCTTCTTGATGAGGTGAATTCCTTCGAGCACGTTGGTGATATCATAAAGGCGTCTTTTCTGTACCTGGAAGAAGAGAATAGTTGCACATTCAGACAGGTTTTTGGCCAGTTTACCTGCCATTTCACCCCACTGAACAATCGAAGGAGAAACCTGGTTGGGGATCATTACCCAAGCCGATGTTCAGCCCAAGTTATTTGCTCATTTGAGGCATTTACAGATGCTGCCTAAAACCTCCCAAAGTGCTCGCAGACACATGGAGGTCTCCACAATAATATCATCACGAGTATCACGCCAGCATCTAAACAACGCTTAACATTGTTAAGGCTAACGTTTAATTTGACTGCTTTTTGTTTCTCACTGTAAAGTTTTACTGCAGCAGGTTGTTGCTCCACTGTCTCCATTTTATTTATATCTGCTTTCAATGAGATCAAATAAGAGGTGCAATGCTCCCTGACTGCTGATAATCTTAATAATACCTAGTTGTGTGTGTGTGTGTGTAACTTTGAAATTAGAAATAAATACCTTTGAAGTTCCTCCCTATGTGTGATGCAACCCTATTCTAAAGTCTGTTAGGGATTTTCAGTCTCCTGACAGTGTCTATTATCAGTCACTAAATTAACCACCAAACACAACCCCTGACAGCACTTCCTACATTTTCTCTCCTCTGAAGTGATACAAGAGGTTCTTTATAAATCTACTTTTCAGTTTACCTGTAAGGTTTCAGCAGCAAGATTGAGGTCCAGAACGCCGTCAGAAGACTGAGCAAGAAGGTCGACAAACTTTTTTGTTAGCAGGCCCAAGGACGTGTCATACCGCGTCTTCTCTGGTGGCGACTTGGGCGCTACGGTGGACGAAAAGAAGAAAGAACAGAGACATGAAGGATAACAGTAATGTGTTAGGTTTGATATTTCATTTTTGCTAAAACATTCTCCGTCACAGCTTCACTTAAGAGCAGGAGGACCAACAAAGTGGGGCTTCATCAATCTGTTAACCAGAGGTCTTGATAGGTCAGGGTGTGTTCACATAAAAGTGGGGTCTGAAGCCACACATTTCTCACAAAGACAACAAACTAGAATCCTAAACAATACAGGGAATTTAAAAAACAAAAAATGTAATAAAAAATAAAAGCAACACAGCTGCTGCAGCCAAAACCAGGAAAGCAAGCTGCCAAGAAAATGTACCAACTGTGTGAACACAAATTAACAGGCCCATCATTAAAGCACAAGTAGATCTGACGATAATTACAAATGTGTATTCCATTAAATGCGTTGCTTAGATGTGGCCTGTTCTTATGGCGGAAGACAACTTTAGCCTCATTTTTTTCAGGTGCAACCCTAGCGGTGTTAAAAACATAAATTAAAACTGTAAGTAGGCTTATAATCTTATCAAGTCACCAAGGAGTACAAGAAGTCAGTGTTTTACCAGCTTCTGTCTTGGGATTATATTGACAGAAAAATAAAGCCTGTAGAACAATGAACTGGCTTTGTCACTTCTTGCAGTCAATAAGAAAAAAATAAATAAAGCAAGGATGTGTATCTCTCACATCTATGATCACCTGGGAAAGAAAAATGTTTAGAAAGTATCCCAAAAACTCTCACTATCCGCACAGTGAATCTCCTAAGATGGTTACCGTTGGCTTTTATTCTTCTATTCTATTTTTTTATTGCACTTCAATTATACTATTGTCTGTCCTAACTAGGCTTTATTAATTGTCTTAACTGTATTATGCCTCAGGAGAACAATCCAAATGTTGTTTTATAGTTGTCTGACATATATCTATAATCTACATCTACTACTAATAGGCTTATCAGTATCTTCGGCCGGTTATGTGTGAAGCATAAGCTGCCATGTTGATGTTCAGATGTAGGAGGTGAATCACCATTGTAGCTCTGAAAACCCAGAGTTAAACCCAAAGTTACCTCACCAAACCCCCAAATCCTGTGACTTAGTACATATTAACAGCATAATATTCACAAATCCAATAGTACAAGTTTGCAATAACTTCCATCTTAGTGATGGAAATTGTGTTTAGTCAACTTTGCGCCCATTTTAAAGGCACTTGTTTGCTGTTTTCATACTGAATCCCATTTATTGGTAGGATCGCTCAAGTACATGTTTGGAAACTGTTTTTTTTTTCCTCCCCCAGTCATAATCAGCTACAGATACACTACAGGTCGAGCAAAAGGTTAAAGTTAGCTTTAACAATCCCCAGCTGATAACACTTAACGTCACGTGTTGGTTTAGATTTTACTGGCTGTTGTGTTTGAAAATGAATGTGTGGATAGCATCTGTTCCCGTCCTCAGAGGGATGCAGCACGTCACCCTCCGACACATCCAGTGGCTAAAACCAACAATAGCCTTTATTACACTGCTGCAAAGGCTATATATCATGAGCATAACGACCGATGCGCAGACTGAGTTTCAATTTGAAGCTCCAAATAGAGTCTGTTTCAGTAGATTGCACGGGGAGCTCATGTTGGACGTTAACAGAAAATCAGCTGACATCTGAACGAATGCATAATCAAAAATAGCTGGGAAGCAATAAGAAATGTTTGTGAGGCAGAGAATAAATGTGCTTTTGAAGACTAATTGAATGTTGAGAGGTCTACAGTGCGAAGGTAAATTGATGGTAACATTTCCGAGATAATTGATGTTTTGGTCCTTTCATTATTGCACAAAAAAAAAAAAGCAAAACCCTTCCTGATCAAGAACGGAAAGAAAGTTAAACAACCAAGCACTTACGACTATGAACAGCTCTGTTCAGTATGCGAAAGTTACAAAAAAGATGCATCAAGACCATTTCTGTGTATAAAACTTAGAAGTGTGGTGCAGAATTCTGGATTAAATGTACAAACAGGATGTCCGAAGGCCTCTTGGAGCCATCTGCTTCTTACTTCTGGGTGTCTTTAATCGAGCCCCGTTGGCCGCTGTGCCTCCTCCTCGGCCTCGTGGAGTTCTGGCTGGTTCTGACTGGTACTGGTGGTCTGAATCATCGAGCGCCAACCGCCTTTTCGCCTGAGAAAGGACAAAAAAAAAAGCATGTTAAGAGCAGATAGAGTTATTTGGCTGCCATCGGTCGTCCCTGAAGTGAGCAACGATGCATCATAACTAGGATTTTCCCTCCTCAGTGTCTCTGAAGCGAAGCAGAGTACAACAAAGAAACTAAACATGCGAAAAATAAGTTAAAAGTTGAACGAAAACAACTGCAAACATGCTGAGTATATTCAACTGTTGGATTCGTTTTGATCACTGAATCTGACAGAAGAATGACGTCCAGTTTTAAGTTGCAACAAATGAGTTTTTTCATCAAACCGCTAATTTAGCACGGTGAAATTTTGCACAATTCATGCACTTGGTCATGCATGTGATGACGTAGCACAGAACCGGAGACTCTGATTTCTGTTTTTGTTGAATCTGATTGGAGAGGAGAAACCCAAATATCTCGAGAGTGAGTCACACCTGTGGGTTTGATGCACGTGCTGCACAGTCAGGGCAAAGGAATCCAACACATGTACAATAATAAACAGATATACTACTCATAACTAAAGGGGAACATCGAGGAATACTGCTCTCAAGTAAGAAGAAACTCACTGCTCAAACCAGATTATAATGTGCTCCTCCCAGTGCAGCCTCATTGAAACGCTGCTAGACTTTTTAAGCAACAAAGTTAATCGTCACAAATTATAACTGGACCTGTCAGTTTATAGACAAACATCATAACATGCTTCTACCACATTCACAGATTAGCCTGACATGTCCACATGCACCTCTGTCATGCCATATTGTTTCACATAACCATGCTGGAATACATGCAGCTTTATTTCACATATCCCCTGCTGTAGTTAGCCATCATCACTATTCACTGGCATCAAAAAAACACCCTGTTTTAGTGCCTTTGAGCAACACACCAGCACCAGTGTGCAGCCACACTACATTTCCCTCCAATTTCTCTTTCAGGGCACAAATCAAATGACCCCTCAGGTAATAATTATCAACCCCTCAACCCATCCTCAATACTTTATCTAGCTTGATCTAGCACAAGTCAGTGAGGGAATAATATGCCCTCTGTTGACAGTCAAAGTGTCAGCCATTTTATATCAGCCAGCAGCTCCCTTCACCCCCCCCTCTCTCTCTGCCTGCTCATGGCTTCAGCCTGAGATACACAGTCTGCTTTGGTTCATGAAAGATGAATAGCCAGGAACAAAACCTCCACCCTGAATGCTGCTCAAACTATTCTGTGTGGTTTGTGCATGATGAGAATACAGGAAACGTGCAATCAGCACTAAAGCAACAAACTCGGGTTTCACTTTACTTGAAAAAAAAAAAAGGCTCCATGGCGTTACTTTAGTCACGCAGGAGGACACACAACACTTGTGCAAAAATAAAAACATAATAAAATAAATAAAGAGGTCACAACCGAGTAATGTTGTCCTCTTGATCAGCATTAGAGCTACTAGCCTGGAAAGCTAACACAGTTTCAAGCTTCATCCAAGTTGCATCTCCAGAGAGAGAAATATCTACCGACTAGTTCCGACACTTAAGTGAAGCTATATCTGCGTACAAGCGCTTGTCCTTCCAAGTTTCGCTACTCGTGTCTTGTTAGAAAGCTTAAAAAATGAGCTAACTAAGAGTCCAACAATCCCCCCCACACCCCAACCCCCAAATTAAGACACCAACAGCAGCCACTAGGCCACCGCTAACGTTACTCATCTCTTACCAATATTTCCATCTGGCTGCAAAGGTGAAGCGAAAAAGCACCGCGAAGTTAGCTAGCAGGCTACTAGGTGACAGCTCTGCATGGCTGTAAACTAACTTAAACTCGCCCCGTGGCCCCCTGCAGTCAACCAAACACTTTAACCAGCCCACTTGGGTAACTTAGCTAGCGGTAGTTAGTTAGCCACCTCGCTAGGTTGAGTCGTGGGAATGCCCTGGCTAAGTAGCTAACGTTAGCTGCCCGAACAACAAGCTCGGCTAGCTTAGCAGGCTAACACTTTGTCGTGGCTGTGGCTGAGCTAAAAACATGTCCAAACCGGGCTGTGTGGGTGATTACCGGCGGTCTCCCCAGTGCGGGTCGTTGTCCGGCTCCGTTCGCTGCAGCTTGTTGTGGAGTTGTGTAAATGTTGTTAACCTGAGGCTCGGATAAACACACATTGGATGTCTGTGTAACGTTGCAAGGCGGTGGTGTGGTTATTATTTGGATATACGTAGCGTTGGATTGACCGGGGTTTAAACGATCCGACAGGGCAGTTAAAATGATATTATTGTCCAGAGGAGAGCCCCCAACCCCCGCTAAAATCACTTTGTCCGGAGCCGAGGAGATCCCTCTTCTCATCTTGCGTATTCGGGGTAACCCCTTTCTTGTCTCTCAACTTTCGAGCCCGTGTGGCCGCTAATCCGCCGCGATAGTGACAAAAATAATCAGACCGAAGTGAAGACGAGTGTCTGAACTATCGACTTTTGTAAAGTATTTTTCCTCCTGTAAGTGCATTTAGGCAGATGCAACGGATTAAAAAGTAGCGCAACTCTCGTTTCCCCCGTCTAGAAATGGCTTCAGGAAACGGCCTGATGAATGAAGGGATACGGTTTACGCGCTCAAGAGCCCTCCCGCGAAACTCAGATTTCCCGGGAAATTTTCAAACGGAATTTACATCCCTCACGCTATTGGTCCATTGCGGCTGAGTCCCCGCCCACGTTGCTAGCGTGTTGGCCAATGATGGCTCAGGATTTAGTGTGCCACGTGTTCATTGGCAGTTGTAAACAGGCAACGTCACCTGTCACGCCTTGTGTGTTTCCGGAAAATGACACTAGATGGCGGAAGTGACACATTTTGCGGAAGACAACAGAACCTACTCAAAACGATTGTTGTCACTGTTTTTATATCTAAATGATCTCTACATTGAGTCAGTAAATTCTTGTCACAAGAGTTTTCTGTGTGTTCTAAACTACTAATGACCTGCTTAATGTTATTTTCCTTTTATTTTTGTTGATATTTTCTCTGCATAAAATTGTAAACTGCACTTGAACACTCACACTATACTTTTTTTATATCGATAGGAAAGTTAGATTAATTTAGTAAATTCATGTCACAAGATTTTTTTTCTTTGACATTGTTGGTATTTTCTCTGCAGAAAATTATAAATTGCAGAAAAATACTCACAAAATTATGATTATTGTTGTATTTATATCGTTATTATTGTTATATTGATGTTTTTTTTGTTCTAAAGTACTACTTACCTGCCTAATATCCTTATCCTTTGATTTTTGTTGAGCTTTTCTCAGCATAGAATTGTAACCTGTGGGATATGAGGTTGTTGTGATTGCAGATCAGATCAGTGGTGATACCAGTTGATAAAACAAACAAAAAATAAATCTTTTTTAAAAGTTGTGAAAATTAAAGTGCAACCTTAATTCTCCTCCCACGGGAAGGACTAATTTGAATTTTAATATTATAAGGCACTATGATGTTTGTGCTTGTGCATCTTGTTTTTTTCTGCAACCCTATAATTGCTTGAATGTGTTTTAAAAGTGGTTTAAAGGAAATATATTTGTTTTGTGCATCTTTGCTTATGGTCAGTATTTGTAACTGTCATTATACACTTTACAGCTCAACTGAGAATGCTCCTGTGCAACATTATTAACATGTTAAATTATTCAATATCTTACAGTGACTGTAAATATTATGTTTAAGTTGAAGTCCAGGGCATTGGATCTTATATTTAATTAAATATGAACAAGCTGGATGAACTACACTGAAAACAACTGGTCCCCAGAACACAATCTCAATGCAGCTAAAGTGAGTGCACCAGTGATCACTGCAGCAACAAACCATTAAAAAGTGCTGCACATATAATATCCAGTAAAGGCAAAGTGCATCAACAGGGTTATAAAAGAACCTATAAACGTCACAGTTCTTTCAGTTTTGGTCAGGGTTGTTCCTTAATGAAAATGGCTCCGTGTAGTAAGATTAATAAGATACATTTATTGTGAAACTTCATGAAGATGGGACAAGAGGCTCTGAATGGTAATAAACAGAGCTGAAACCATTGTTGTTGGGATCACATTGAGTTCAATATGTTTGTTTGGGTCTGGCCAGATGCCACCACTGTGACTGCATAATGCCAGCTGTGAAACATGGAGGTGGGAGTGTGATGCTGTGGGGCTGCATGAGTCCAAAAGGTGTAGCAGCGAGGACATCTGTGAACGGCACTGTGCATACAAGTTTGTGTATAAATACAAATGCGAACTGAAAGTCTCAAGATGCTTGGCAGAAGATAAATTCTTCAATCTAATTCCAAACATACTGCCACAATCCCACAAGAGTTTTTCAAAAAGAAGTTAGTTAAAGCTGACTTGGCCAAATCTGCATTTCCTGACACAAATCCAGTATTATTATTTCAACATGGAACGTAGGCGGCCCAAATAGCCAAGCGGTAAGAGAACATGCCACATGGGCTAAAAAGCCCCTAGCAGCTGTGTCCTTGGTTCAACTTCTTTTTCCCCATATTTTTGTCCATCTCCACTGTGCTGTCTATTTACTAATGGCAAAATGCCAAAAAATAATAAGCTTAAAGTGGAAGGCAGAGCAGAAAAATCCCTCCAGCAGAGAGCAGCTGAAAAAAAATCATGTGTTCTGTCACCATAAAACTTAGAAAAATATGAAATAATAAAAAAATGAAATCTTAGCAGTTGCAGTGAGGTTGTGGTTTGGGCCACATATTTTCTCTGTAGTTTAATCTATTGGTTGTTAATCATACCTAAGCTCAAATACCCACACTTTAAGTAAAATATAAGATGCTGCAAATTAGTCTAACTTAATGATATTGCACTGCGGTGTACTGATTTTTGTTGGTGATTGTGTGTCAAGTTTATAGTTGGACTCAAAGGCCATATAATGCTGGATGTTGCTGTCATAGAAACCTATAGTAGGGACATGTTTACTTTGTAGATCGATCAACGCCAGCATTAAAACCACTGATTGTGTGGATGCTGCCTGCTCGAGGAACACAACCAAGGGCTCAAGGTGGGGACCCAGTTTTTTTGAAATCCCCAGACTGCAATCCAACAGAGTAGTTGTGCAGGAATAAACTTGACCCACGGACACCCCCACTGGTCCTGTGTCAATGGTCTGATGGGTCAAAGCTGTTTCATGCAGCACAGTATTAGGTGACTGGTTTTAATGTTGTGGCTCATGTGTGTATGCCAGTATGTTCTGTATACTCTGTGAATTGTGGTGGCAGGATGACATACACATTTAAGAGCTCCATTCAAGAGCGGAACTGTCCTTTGGGAAGATAATAAATCGCTTCTATTTTGCTGCAAATCCTGGTCCCTGACTTCAGTATTGAGCAGAGCCACAAAACATTGTCCTGTGGGTATTCTTTAAATGTCACATTAATTGTTTATCATTATGAAAATCCAGCATTTGAAGATGAATTCATTACTGCTGCCACTTTTTAAATGTCACCCTTGGACCCACCTTGAATAGAAAGTGTTCCGTAGCTACTGGCAAAATGTGATATTTGGGCATTAATTATGACTCTCAGCAACAAGTGCATAATACTTAATAAACATTTACTCCCAAATGTCTCAAAGCTGTGCCAGCTATTGATGTCTAGGTGAAGAGCGTTCAGTCATTTCACAAACGACCTTTTAAACCATGCTGGGGAACACAGGCATAATAATTCAGCAATTTTCAAATCCGAAGAATGAGAGTCAGAATCCATTTTATTGCCAACTGGGTTTTGATATATGAGCAGTTTTACCTGGCATTTTGGTGCCCAACAGCAAAAAAAAATGGCAGAAAAATGTCAACTTTTAAAGCAATAAAGTAATATTAACTGTTTTTTATGAGACGACTGTACAGATTGTGCAGGAATGTGCAAATTATCTCCCTCAAAATGTGCAAAATTTTGCAGTATATAGTGTAAACAAGTTAAAATGTGCACCAGGATATGGATACTCCTATTTAAATGTTCCTTTTTGTTTTATTTTATTTAACTGCTGCTTAGCTATGAAGTTACTGTATTAGATAATGGTATACATTATTTATCAGAAATCTAGGCTACTGTCGTGACAACTACTGATGAAGTTAAATAGATGGTTGTGAGATAAAAACGTCTGATTTATTGATTTAAATACAGTTTTTGAGTTTCAAACATTACTATGATGAACTGGGTTTGCATATAGCTGCCTTGGCTTAATGCTGCGTGTAGTTTAGACTCACTTCTTGTTTGTTGTTTGTCGTTTTCAAGATTTAAATATAGTGCGTTCAAAGACACAAAAATAAAAAGTGAATCGGTCAAATTAGTAGTTCATTTCTTAAAAAAACTACCAAATGAACAAAAACAGGCAAAAAAGCAAAAAAAAAAAAAAACAAACTACTGAAGAAATAATCTCTTATTGGAGCGACTTAATTTTAAAAATGTTTGTCACCTTAGAAGTTTTTTTTCTTTATCATGGTATTTAGATATATAATACTGAAAATGTTATTTTACATACAGCAACTGAAGTGTTTTTTTTTTTTGAATAATTAACTTAAAAATCAATCATTAAATGTGTTGCAAGTGAAGTACTTTGAAATTGCAACTTAATGTAGTTTGAACATAATTTCATTAGATGGTGTCATAAATGAGACAGTCTTTCCTTAAAAGTCCTATTCTTACATTTTTTACAAACAAAAAAATCTTTAAAGTATATTCTTATACTTATAAAAACACAGATAGGAATCAACATACCTCAAAACCATTTCTTTTGATTTGCTTAGACCAGTAGAAATGATTTTAATGCTATTTAAGATGAGCGAGGAAATTAAAACTCCACTTTATCAGTGGTCAGGGAGGGGCGTCTGTCCTCATGTTATCAGCTGTTCTTTTTCAAAATAAAAGCACCAGATAATACACACGAGTCAATGCATAATCAAAAAAAATAAATAAAATGTTTTTTAAAAAATGTGTGAGCGTTATAATTAATGTTTTGTATAACTACATTTCTTATTTCGCAAGCAGCAAACACAAGCTCTGTTTATTTGTCTTAGTCCGGCTTGACTGGTACCAAGAAGGAGGCGGAGGAAGAGGAGGGAGAGCCGGGGATGTGCCTCTGCTCAGCGGACTGGTCTGACTTGTCACGGGGTCCTGCGGGCACACAATGTGTTTCAGTCACAGAAAACAGTGAGCAGCCGGGCTTTGGAAAAAAAGAAGCGAAAAAGAACAGCGGGGGAAAGAACCGAGGTTGAGGCTGCAGGAGAAAGCTGGGGGAAGGATGGGCGAGCCGGCGTTTAAAACCACCGGATCCAAGTGGCTGCAGCCCGTCAGTGAGCTCCTGGGCTTCCCTCTGGACCAGGTAGGACCGGCTGGCTGCTCGGCATTCAGGATCTCACTAGACTTACTGCTCCTCCAGATCATGAATGAAGCAGTCAGCGACCGAGGAGATTCCTCAGCAGGCATCGACGCCCACATTGTTGGACAAGATTGTAAAAAAAAAAAAAAAGTCAGAGGCTCCATGTGTTGCCCTGAACACCTGAGCTACACTGAGGTGGCACAATGTGGAGTCTTTTTACTTTCTGGTAATCAGTTAGTTGGTTGGTTTATGAAATGTCAGAAAATGGTTTAAAAAATCAAAATAAACTTTCTTCTGTTCTTCTGTCCAGCATTCAAAGACATTTATATTGTTGTCATTGGGATTAAATGAACCAGATAATATATTAACTTACAAAGCTAGAATCAGAGACTTAACACTTTCTTTTTTTCTTTTTTTTAACCTAATAATTGGACCTTGGCATTTACCTTTATTTTACCAGGTTAAAAACGTTTGAGAACCAGTTCTCATTTGCAAACATGACCTGGCCAGGAGGCACCAGCAGGAACAAACACACATGTAAATTACAAACACATAACATAGAACAAAAGTAAACAAGAAGCATGGAGGCATGTGAGTGACAAACAGATGTGCATTTGGTGTGAGAAAGTGTGTATATGTAAGTGCTGTATGTAAGTAAAGTCCGGCTTGATTAGCAGGAGCAACAGTCAACTACAATCTGTTGGATTTGAAGCTTGAAGCTGGTGAGCGGAGTCAGATTGGTGAAAAAAATGTCTTTTTTTTCTGGCCAAACACTCTTTGTTTGTTGCTGTTTTTATGTGCTCCTGCAGAAAATAAGGCGGTGTAGAAGAACTGTATAGAGAGTGTTGGTTAAAGGGGATGCTTTCTAAAATATTGTATTCGAGTATTCTCTGAACACCAGCCACCTTGTTTCAATAAGAAGTCCAGAAGAGAAAAAAGAAACACAGAACTGAGGATTCAGTATCAAACACAATATGTCCTTTTTCTTTCAGGCACCAGTGGCAAAATGGAGCATCATTGATTTTTAAATAAATAACAGAGACATTAAAGAAAATGAGTCTTTCAATAACATTACATTTAAAAAAAAAAGAAACTAAAACTAAATCTGTTTGACCAACACGTAGGCCTACCTATTCACTTTAAAATATCCATTTATTTAATTTTTATTTAAATGATTTTATACATCTTAGGAGAAGATGTAACACAGACAGTGAGTCTCAGAGACATTTCACTGATGTGGTCATTCTCTCTAAGCAGGCGAGCTAAAACATGGCTATGCTAGCTCTTCCTACCTTAGTTCCAGCAGGGTATCTGATTATATTTAATCCAATTTAGAAATTAGATTTCTTTTACGACAGCATATGTTTGGAGATGCTTTTTTTTTCTTTCTTTTTTTGCAGTGTCCTATATTTGACAGTATCAAGACGTCCCTTGTTAACAATCCACAGTTTGCAAACTGGAACTCCAACAACATTTGGACTTCTCAAAAGGAGCATAAACTGACTGTAATTCTGATTTTACTGCATGACTACATCAAACTACAGTATAAGTTAGAATCAAACGATAATTATTAGTTTTTTTTGATAAGCTCAACAATGTTTTTGGTAATTTCTCTTCCTGCTGGTTCTACAATCAGCTGTGACGCGATGCCACGCCCACTTTATCGTGTCATGTGACCTTCTTTCTCATCAAATGCAATTTCAGCAGCACATAAGCATTAGTTGAGGATTATTTGATGTATTTCTTGAAAGATACTCTTTGCAAAGCTTAACGGTTCCAGTTTGCCAGATGTTACATTTTACCGATATTCCACATTAGAACTCTTTCTTTTTTTTTAAATTTAACTTTGAGGTAGGTAAAAATCTAGAAAGCTTTTCCTTGCTCTGCTCAGGACGCCTACCCAGTTGAGACATCACAGTACGTCCATCCAGCTGTTTTGTTCTGCGTTTCTTTCTTTTTGGATCGATCTTGTATCGTCAGCAGTTCGCGCCACTTGTTTCCACACCTTTATTAAAAAATAATAATAATAATAATCAGTGTAAGCATGTTGTGGTTGGTCAGACCTACTTTCTTGTGTGTGGTTCAGTGGGGAGTGATTGTGCTCTTCAAATTCACCTGCAATTTTCTGCAAGGAAAATAGTAGTTGCAAAATGTAACTCCAGTTCTGTGAGTATGTTTGCAGCCACCCAAGGCTGACGTTTGGTTCCATCCCTTCAAGTCAAAGTTAAAAAATGAAGCTATAATGTGTTCTATCCAGCTGTTTGATCATCTACTGACGAATATCACAGCAGACCACGAACCTCTATGGAACTGATACAATGAAGCACAGTTGAAAAGAACATTTGGTGTTTGTTGAATGTTGGAGCAGTTGTACCTTCACGTCTTTCTCCCCCACACAGGTGAACTTTATGTTCTGCCAGCTGTTTGCCCTCGGTGCTGCCTTCTGGTTCCGTCTCTACCTCAGTCCTCGCCACGCCAACCCTCTGGTCAGGCACGCTGTCGCCACTCTCCTCGGCATCGCCTTCCTCATCTTCTGCTTTGGATGGTACTCAGTCCTCCAGTCGTTTTCTTTTGCGTGATGCTACACCGTTCATACTTTCTACGCTAAGCCACTGTTGTGACTTAAATATGCGTTGAGATAAGATATGTGAGAGTTGGTTATCTTCAGTAGTTGACCTCTGTTGACTCTCTGGCAAATGGATGAGATGATACTCTGTGCTGGATGTTGGCAGCACTACAGGCAGGGCTGCAACTGATGATTAGTTTCATTGTTGATTAATCCGTCAATTATTTTCCAGAGAGTTGTGAAAAATGACAATCATTGTTTCTTCAGCCCAAGATGACATCCTCAGAATACTCGTTTTTTCCACAATCCAAAGATATTCATACGACTTGAATCAGGATTAAAGGAACCAGAGAACATTCAAATTGATCTAGAATCAGAGAATTGATTGTTTATCAAAATAGTTGGTATTCAATTTAATACCTGACCACTGATTAATTAACCATTGCACCTCGAGATCCATGTAGGAAATCTGTCTGTGGTTGCATTTGTTGCATTGATATCAGAGGAAACATGTCTAGACTGTATTGATTGGTGCATATGATCGTGTTGCGCTGAAGAAGAGAACGCTGAATTATTTAAATACCAGTGATAGGGCACATGATCTGATCATTTGTGTTCTTTTTCCAGGTACTCGGCTCACATCCTGACTGTGGTGCTCGCAAACTACTTGATCATTATCAACGCTGACATCAATAATGTCCACAAGTAAGTCTTCATAGCTGGGACATGGCTATGTAATGGAGACCAAATGTTGGCTTGTATAGAAACTTGTGCCAGCCGGACATATCAAGTATTTTGGGGAAAGATCATGCATTCTTTGCATTGGTAGCGTTCTTGTGTATACATTTGAAAGAGCCTTGTGGCCTGGTTGGTTTGGTTGGAGAGGAACTCCCCAAACCTGCGCCCTTCCTGTTGCATTCCTTGATCAGACGGTTGCTCTGAGGTTTGTCTGTAGACCAGGCGGACGTGTCTGCCGCACTGTGTTGACAGACGGATGACAGAGCTGTTATGGCAGCAACTAATTTCGGCGATGCAATTGTTGTGACTGTTGTTTGGGTTGTCGCATTGTGTAGGCTGACTTAAAATACTGAAACTAAAGTACGTCAGGTGAAAGGCAGCCAGACACTCCAGCCGAACCAGTCCGTTAGATCTGTGCAACAGATTGTTAACGTGTTTTGTTAAAATACCTGCTTCTCTCTCTGCTTCCATGTTTTTGGTATATTTGGAATTTTGTGAATGCACACACATCTTTCTTCTTTGTCTTCAAACAATTAGGCTGAAATGTGTCAGTATCAGTGGGGTTTTTTTTGTCTCTCTCTATCTATGATTGAAGTTTGGTGATTTGGTGAGGCTGCTGTGGTAAAACCGGTTCTACACATTCAGAAAGAAAACACAGTGAAAACTTCAATTGTGTTCCAGTATAAACATGCATGCCATGTTACACACACCTCTGCATTACTGGGTAAAAGGAGGTAACTGAGTGAGTCAGGAGAAACTCAGGTCACTCTAGTTCACACCCACTAAAACAACTATTCCAAGAAATTTCTAAATCCACCCGAACTGATGTGTCAACTATGGATGCATTAAGAAACTGCAGACCTGCTTGTAGTATTTATTTCAGAAAAAACATCACCCAATTGTCTGATTTGGTTTTGTTCATTCCTCCACTCGCAGGTATTCCATGGTGACTGCTATGGGCTATCTGACAGTGTGCCAAGTGAGCCGAGTCTTCATCTTCAACTATGGGATACTTTCCACTGACTTCTCTGGGTGAGGACAAACTGAAATCATTCTTTTTGTTGCCTCATTTCTTCCTTCCTGCCACACCTCCCTGCTGACAGCTTATTAGTTATTTCAGCAACAGAGCGACTCCTTCGTTATCAGTTAACCTTTCTAAAGTGTGTGATGGCTACTTACACCGTGGTCAGCGCCACAACCTTGTGCAAACACAACAACACTGATTACAAAGCCACAGCACGGATTTGTCCACAATTGACATTGCTCAGCCAGGTAGAGTTAAGGTACTCGCCGCCTCCCGGCAACCCTTAATTTTTTCTTTGAAGCAAGACTGCTTCAGAATAAATGGGTGGTTTAAGGTTCAGTGTGGTTCTCTGTATTTGAAGGGATACTTTCAAAGGCTAGAACTGTCATAAAGGCATGCTAAAACATAGGAACTGGAACAAAAAGCAAAGCGAGATGGGGTTTCCTATTACAGAGGATTGGATCTTTGCACATTATTTCATAAATTAAAAGCCAAAAACGCCACTATTTTGAAATCAAACCTCAGCTGACGTGTATTAACTGTAGCTCTTACACTGATTCTTGCATAGAGATGCTTTGAGAGCAGGATCTCTGAGTATTCGCAAATATAGATGAGGTCCCATCTGGTGAAATCTATTTTTATTATCATCTGTATGTCTGAAAAACTTGGAGGAGCAAAATAAACCTGTGAGACGCCTACTGCTGTTATTCCTTTTGCCCTCCTCAACTAGATAGCCTCCCAGTGATACAAACCAGTCAGCATTTTATTCAGTTTCTAAGTGAAATCATAGTTGTCGAGCTAAACTTTACATAACCCCGCCACCTGGACAACCAATCAGAAGGAGCAGTTGCCTTGCAGTCTGCCTGGTTTGTTTCCGTGCTTAAGCTGCTTCTTCTAACTCTGAAATGTCTTAACCTCAAGCATCAAATGTTCTTCTGTTGGTTCTGCAAGAGTGAACGCAAGAATCTTCATGTACTCCCAGAATCTGAGGACCTAAACACCCAGTGGATTACTTTTATTTTTGATGGCAATGTCACCATAACTACAATTCTATGATTTCATTTAGCAGATGCTTTTATCCAAAGCAGCGTACATCTGAGAGCAGATACGACACAAGCAAGGATCTAGTCAGGAGAAAACAATCTAGCTAAGTGTCATAGAACAAGTTCAAGTGTGTTAGGGTGCTGACAGACTGAAAACAAACAACAAAAATAAATAAATAATTCTATTACCTCCCACACAGCCTGCTATTGGCATCAACGCCCTAACAGTGAAGAGCTGGTCTTTAGTCTTTTCTTAAAGACTGAGAGGCAGTCAGCAGATTGAACAGAGGTTGGTAACGCGTTCCACCAACAGGGAACCACAGAGGAGAACAGTCGAGCTGTCGACCTCGGGCCCTGTTGTGGTGGTTGTATCAGACGGCTTTTGTTGGTCGAGCGTACTGAACTGGAGGGAGTGTAGATCTGAATGAGAGAGTTCAGGTAGGAGGGAGCTGTTCTTGTTGTGGTTTTGTGGACAAGTGTCAGAGTTTTGAATTTGATGTGGGCAACAACTGGAAACCAGTGAAGTGATCTGAACAGCAGGGTGAACCAGACGTGAACCAGACGTGCTGCTGCGTTCTGGATCATCTGCAGAGGTTTGACCGTGGATGCAGGGAGGCCTGCCAGTAAGGAGTCAACTACCTTACTGTTAGCACATTGTGTGGCTAATGCAGCTCACAATACCACTGATTATATAACCACAAGTCACAACTATGTAGACATAGCAAAACCAAGGAATTCAGAGAAGGCGTGAAGTTTATCAGATTTAAATCTGATAAAAAACAAAAAAAGACTGGGTGGGTCACTGTGTTTTCATGTTGCCTTCTGTTTGGTTCTCTCCTACTCTCACATGAGCTGCATTTCAATACAGTTGAATTCCCAAAAGTTGTTCTTATTTGTATGTTTTTCCATTTGTGCTGTCAGACAATGAAATGAGTATGAAATAGGACTGAAACTCAGCCCGTTAAGACGACATATTAACCAACGCTTTTACCAAGCTGCTGCTCTGCACCACTTAGCTTCTGATTTTAAAATCGCGCACGAGTTAAAACAAATGGCTGCACTGTGAATCTGGTGATATTTCCATGCAAAATGATCACTCAGAGAGAAAGGAAGCGTTAGAAAGTCATGTGTGCTGGATGCCGTGCATTTAGGTGCAGAGAGTGCGTTTTTCCTGAAGGGGATGTGGTCAGCAGTAGCTCAGCTGCATTTAAAGCGACGGACACTGAAACAGCCTGTTTAGAAACGGACTAAAAGCAGGAGTTATACAGTCAGGATAAAAATGAACCATCTTTGCTGTCTTGTGAGCTGGAAAACTGAAAGACACATTCTGTGAGACTCAATAATTTAAATTTGAGAAGCCTAACTGTATGGAACTGACAAATCGTGTGGTCATGTGTGTCAGGTTCATGTCTGAGTTGGTACCAGTGGTTTCATTGGAAATGCTCACACCAGATAAAGTGGGTAACAGAATTTTCTGTGTGCGGTTGTTCAGTAAAAGGTGACTCTGCTGTCCTCTGTACTCAGCAACTTCTTTGCCTGGCTCCAGTGTACATGAATTTGTTGGCAGCCTCACTTACACTCCACGTGATTTTAGCGATGAGCAGCCAGGCCTGTGAGTCAGCTCTGCGTATGGTTGCATTATTGAATTAGGAATACAGCTTTTGTCAGCTTTCATGTTAAAGTTCAAAATGAATGGTTGTGAATTACAGAGACTACACAGTCGACTTAACAAGCTTTTAGTGAATTAATCAGGTTGAGCAAAAGTTGTGTGACTCACTTTTTCTGACCCAACAGCTCTCATTTAGACTTCTGGTTTTCTACTTTCTAAGCAGAGAGATGTCATAGCTAATGTCAAACTTGTCCCTGAAGTCTCAGTTTGTCCGTAAGCTGATGGTTTCTGAGTATGTGCAGTGCAACTCAAATGACACTGAACTCAAACTCTTGTGACAAATCTGCAGTCTACATGGAAAGTCTGTAGGCTCCAGTGGTGGAGTGTTGCACGTACCGGCTGGCACCCAGAAAATGTTTCTCTAAAGCCACCGCTGCCAACTCTCATTGAGCTGGCACTGCCAGCCGCACGGCCAGAACCTCTCCGCCTCAGATTTCCATGCTGTGCACACAATGCAGCCCACTCACAGGCAGAAACCAGTATGTGTGACTGGGAGAGAGAGGCAAATGGGGACAGATAGGGAGTAAGACTTAGTTTATATGTGCCTTTGTGCAAACACACTCACATTCTTTGGACAGAGAGCTCTGTATCTGTGAATGAAACAGGGCCAGTGTGTGAGACTTACTGTACAGGACCTTTTTTTCCCCCCTTCTACTGTTGCTTCAAGCACTTGTGTCTATTGTGTGACGTCCTGGATACCAGCATCTGAGTGTTTATTATATTTATTTAGTTTATTGCATTTAAAACGATGCTCCAGCACTGTACTATTGGTATAGAAAACCTTTAGGATGCGAGTTTTCACAGCTCTGAGCTTGACAAGCTGAAAATCTGGCTGTACTTGTTTCAAAGCGAGACGATTGAATGAAACTCTGGGGATTGGAAAGACTCGCACTGGATTAATAAGTGACCTGATTCACTCCTGCTGGAAAAGAATGAAGTGATTCACCTGGGAAAATAAATTCTGTAGCCTCACACAGAGGCTCAGCGTGCTTCAACTTGGGAGGTGCTTTGTTTTACATTGTTAATGTATTAAATGACTTAAAAGGACTGAACATCCCCCTCATAAGACAAGACTGCTTTCTGAGCTGCATGGTCTCTGAAATCTTGGTGCAATCGCCCACCTGTTCCACTGTTTGATCTTCCTTTTTATATATATTTCATGGCTCTCAGTTTCCAAAGTGCTGCACTCAAGTTTAACAATAAAATAATTAACCTGCTGCTTTTTTTTTTCTTTTCTGCTCAGACCTTTGATGATAGTAACCCAGAAGATCACCACGCTGGCTTTCCAGCTGCATGACGGTAAGAGGTGAAAACACACACGTGCAAACTGCGCAGATGTTGTCAAGCCTTTCATGATTTCAGAATTACTCACAGGCCTTTTACACTGCAGACATTTAGACCTTTTGCAAAAAGGAAAAGTAAACTAAGTGAAGAGATGATAAAATTAACAGTTCAAATGTGAATGCCGCAGTAAGTCATTTGACAGTGTGAGAGTAAAAACCAGGACTTTGAAAGTGAAGCAGCAGACTGGGGTTCTGCTATCAATACTTGTGACTTTTAAATACATCTATCATTTAAAAAAAAAGTGAGTGGTATTTAGTAGGAAAAGTATAAATAACTTCATTGTTTTTGTTTGTCCAGGTATGTGTAAGAAGCCTGAACAGCTGACATCGGAGCAGAAGCTTGCAGCTATAGAGTAAGTTTTTTTTTTTTTTTGTACTTACAAACAAACTGCTTACGATAATGTTTTTTTAATGCAGTGGTCATCATACTGTGTGTTGCTGTGTGAAACGTCAGGTGATGGGCATTATGGAAACAGGACAGGGGTCCAAGTGATTCTTTGAAATGATTATGATATATTAACAAAAAATTGCATTTGTTTTTGTTATTTGTCAGAGCTCCAGACTGCGACGAAAATAGTAATAATACGCATCAAGCATGTGTGGGTAGCTACTGCATTTAATTATAATGACTAAAGCAGTACTAGGGATGAGTGAAAAGTAATGGCAATCATGATTTTGGCTTCCAACGATTATGTGAACATGATTGGCTGTTGTATTTTCATTTTAAATGCGCATAGAAAACAGTCCATGCACGTGACTTGGTTTAATCTTAGATAACTCTGAAATTATAACGCCTTATTTCACTCTTTTTTACAGTATTTTTTCTGTCTGAGTGCACTGCAGCTGCCTACCAGCATCTACTGCAGACTGCATGTGAGACGTTTAGGGACAAATAGTAAATTACAGATGTCTGTTGATAAGCAGATGTTCAGCAAGTGAGGAGTTTAACCTGTGCTCAGTTTGTATTAGAGATATCAGACAACCTCCAGGAATGACAAAATTAGTATAATCTTTACATCAAACCTGTGGCAGACAAATATGACAGCCGTTCAACAGCATTGCCTTTGACATTTTAAAGTATTATGTGCAGCTAATTGATTAGATTTCAGTTCAGTTTTGTGGGTTTGTGGTTCTGTGTTGACATGGTGCAGATGTTTTCATTATATGTTTAGTATCCTTCAAATGTATTTCTCTTGTGTGGTTCTGTCACAAAACAGACTACAGAAGCAAAAAAATCTGCTTCATCAGATATTTACATGAGACTGACATGAGGGTTTCCTTGCTAGAAAGCAGAGTGAGAACCGATGGACTGGAGGTCTCTGGTTTATTTAATTTAACCTGTTTTTCTTTTAAACTGGACCTTTGTGGTGCATTTACAGAAAATTAATGGAAAAACCTGAACGCCTGACCTCTACAGTGAAGGCATCCCAGCTCTGTTATGCTGTGTTACATATAACTTGTCACCCATCTGTTGTTTACGAGGTAGAATTAAAGTGCGCACAGAAGAATGAACACCTAAATGATTTCAGAATGCATCTGAATTGACACCTAATTTAAAGAATAAATAACTTTTTCCTTTCCTTTAGCCACGAAGGACAGTGACAAGGAGATGAAATCATGGTGAATAGCTTGTTATTGGGAAAAAAAAGCATGCTGGGAACTTAGAAAAGAGTTTTGCATGGAAAACCTCACATTTTTGTGCATGTGAACTGATAAAATCACATTCATCAGAGTACCATGCATGCCATTTTTAAAATAAATTCAAAAATGTGTAGAAAAGCAATCAAAATGTATGATAACCTTGCAGTTGATTGTCTTACGTTTGTTATCTTGCTTTGAAAACCCTGTTCTACCTGTAGAGTTGGGTACCACTTTGATTCTAGTTTGACTTGTAATTCTGGCCGTACCGTAAACTTGACATGCATACGTTGATGCATCTGTAACACAGACAGAAGCTCAGTTTGTGACAACCTTGCTTTTAAGAATTGATTAGCAAGTTAAACGCAGATTTAAAAAAAAAGAAAAAAAAAAAGAAAAGCTTTTTCAGTTTTTGGACTTGGTTACAGTTGATAGCTAGCTTTCGTTACACAAAACTGGTTTCCTTAAAAGCTCTGCTGTAACTGGAGGGTCAGAGGAGCCAAACAGAAGCTAACTTATATTGTTTATCACTGTGAATTTGGAATATCACAGGATATTCACTTAACGTAACCTTTACATCTGCCAAGCAATATAACGGGTTTACGACCCCTTTTTATTGTTTTCATTGATAAATGGCATGCTTTGTTTTAATATCCATCCAACATAGAAGAAAGTTCACAACAACACTGCTGCATTTCCCCCACAGTGATCACAGACTGCATATTAAAGAGTTTTCCTCCTGCTCTCTCTGCAGCGTGAGGCCTTCTCTCATCGAGTACCTGAGCTATAATCTGAACTTCCTCAGTGTGTTGGTGGGTCCGTGCACAGACTATAAGGATTATACAGACTTCATAGAGGGCAGACACATCAGCAGGAGGCTCAGGCTGCGCTCTGGGACATGTAACGGGCAGAATGGCTTCGATAAGACGCCAGAGCCGTCACCTACAGTAAGTTCATGAATACTTATGTGGTGGCTGGTCTTGCAGGCTTCTCCTAGTTTCATTTTGATACTCACTGAGATTGTTGTTGTCGTTTGAGGAGGAAGGTGTTTTATTCTTGTATAATATCTAAAAGAAAAGAAAGAAAAAAAAATATTAATATTAAATTCCTTTTTCTGTTTGAAATCTGAAATAAATTTATCATAACGCATTAGCTTCCATGTACCTTGGTCCTTGTTTGAAGTAAACAATGCTTGTTGTTCAGTCAGACATCTGGCTTGTTTACAGTCCACCTCCATGTCTAGTAGGATTGGAGTGTTACTGTAAGACTGTATATAAAAAATCCACATAGTCACTGGATGCCTCGACTCTGGAGTTCTGCCATTGCTAAGGTCTGCACAATATTGGAAAAAATATGATATTGCAGCATTTTCTTTTTCTGTGATATGAAAAAATCAAGATTTTTACAATTATTATTATTTTATCATATGACTGCAATAGTTCTATTTGAAAAGAATTAATCAGTGCTGAATTGCTGGGGGGATTTCGTGGGCGAGTGAATCTGCATCAAAAATAAAAAATGATCCTGTTTAGAACCTTTGTCATGTGGTGCAACCCTGGCAAATACACCCAAAATAGTTTTTGGTTCTAGATGGCTTGGCGCTCGTTTTTGTGGTGCTGATTGAATCAATTGATCAAACCACTGACACCGTGTTTCTTTTTGCAACCAAATCTTCCTTGTCAGTGTCTCCATCCTGCTTCTTACTCATTTTGTGGTGCACGTGTGGAGCCTTAATGCCAACAAACTCTGCAGCTTGTTGATAATACAACACGGCACAACAATAGAACTAAAAGTCAGGGTATCTGAGAAAAAAATAATGTTCTATCAGACAGACATGTTTTTGTTTTTGGCATCGAGAAACAAAAAAGGTTAGTTTTAAGTCGTGCACATCGCACTGTAAATGTTCAAATGATTTTCAAATGATACCCTTCCTTGTTGTCTGCTTTACTCCAAACAGGATCATAGTTTTAAAAAATGAACAGTCTGTTATATTAGTGGAGACTTCAAACCAGTAATTGAGACCATAGACCATAGGTGTCAAACTCTGGCCCGCGAGAGATCTGTGTTTCTTAATCTGACAAACTAATAGGATTTTCCTGATATAATATAGCGTAATTAAATGTTATAATAACACAGCAATGTGCCTACACAGGGCTCCAGACTGTGACGAAAATGTTCTCGTACGTGACCATCTTTGAGTGTGTACGAGCTAAAGTTTCACGTGGTTGCATTGTGCAAGTGAACGACGATCATCAGGCTGATCTGGTTCCTTCAGTCAGCACAGGTGGCTGCTGCATCAGTTGTTGTGGTTAGAAATAGTCATATTTCTTCCACAATGACTCAGTCACTCTCTGCCTGACGGGTAAACCTGTCAGTTTTGCTGGTACTGTGTTCCAATGAAAAAATGACATATAGCCGATTATGTTACACACACACAGACACACACACACACACACACACACACACACACACAGCGAGGTGAGAGAGGGAGAGGTCCGACACACCTCATGATGAAAGTGTTCAGGTACAGGCAGACAGATCTCTACTGAGTCAGTTAGGCAGAAAAAGTAGCCCCACATTCAATCTGGAAGACTCAAATTTTAACAGCGATCACATCTCTGACTCTATAAACATGATGGCCAGTGGTATGGACATTTAAAATGCGCTCAGCTCGTAGAAAAGTCCGGCCCTCTGAGGGCAAACATAATGCTTATGTGGCCCGGGATGAGTTTGACACCCCTGCCATAGACCCTTTAAGAAAATGTTCAAAGAGACAACAGATCAGTTGAGAAGTAGGACCTTTTTTTTTTCAGATTTCTGTAGAATCTCACTTCGTTTTGCTGCCAGAGGAGTCGCCGCCTGCTGGCTATGAGAAAGAATGCAGGTCTATAGTATTGCTACATTTGCTTAATTTTTCAGATGCAGAGGCTACATTCATCCTTTATATACAATCTCTGGTGTATAAAGAGCCAGTCTGTTCTAGCCAACAGCAGCAGGTTGCACTTTAAGGGTCACCATGCCATCATGTGTTTGTATTGTGTGTTTCCATGAATGCTGTCTGTTTTCTCTGCAGGATGCTGTCTGTCGAAAGCTGCTGGTCTGCAGTGGCTGTATGCTGTTCTTCCTCACCGTGACTCGGGCCTTGCCGATAAAGCACAACGTCAACTCCGACTTTGTCAGCGGCGCCTCCTTCCTCACCAGACTCACGTACGCTTTCTTCTCCATACAAGCTGCAAGGCCCAAATTCTACTTCGCTTGGACACTAGGTGAGAACAGGTGATGTCGTTGTAGTTGACCAGTTGGCTGCTAATATAATAGAGACATTTTATTGTGTATTGTAGCGGTCATGTAATTGTTTCCCTGTCATGTCAGCTGATGCTGTGAACAACGCGGCCGGTTATGGTTTCCTTGGGATGGATGAAAATGGAAAACCATCCTGGGACCTCATCTGCAACCTCAACATCATCGGGATTGAGGTACCAACAGTGTTTCACGTGATTTAAAAACAAAAACAAAAAAATAAAAGAAGAACTTTCAGCTCTTTCAGTCTGACAGTGAATGAGTAAGTGGAGCACACTGGTAATTTAGTTACTGCTCCTTTTTCAGACGGCAACCAGCTTCAAGACCTTCATAGACAACTGGAATATTCGAACAGGAATTTGGCTCAAGACGTAAGTTCTGCAAATGTTAACTCAGCTATGCATGGCCACAATCAGAACCCCTTAGATCGATTGCCTGTCTTTACTCTCCTCTTAGGGTGTGTTACGACCGAGTGCCGAAGCACCAGTTGGCGTTGACCTTCATCCTGTCGGCTCTGTGGCACGGAGTTTATCCAGGATACTACTTTACCTTCCTCACTGCCATCCCCATCACTGTGGCTGCGAGAGCTGTGAGTAGTTGGTTTAAATGTGTACCAATAAAACAAAACACAACTACGTACTATAGTTTTAAATAGTTGGGGCAGTCCTTTTTTCCAATTTCAACTCTGAAATTATGACAGCTGTGTGAAGATTAAGGGAAGCCACATTGGTTTTCAGAGTACAAAAACATTTCTTTCCAGTAGTGTTTTCTCTCTGGGTATAGATTTAATATCGCTTCAATCAAAACTGATACCTCTGTAGGAACAGCTTTCATTTTAGTTTTTAGAGATAAACTGCAAGGTACACTTGGCTGATCCGCATCTAGTCAACAGCTAAAAGTGATCAACAAAAATGTTGTTGCTTACAGTTGAACTTAAATACACGAATCCTTTGCCCTGTGTGAAGACAGTAACTGATCCGTCTCTTGCCTTCAGGTGAGGAAATCTGTTCGTCACTTCTTCCTGAGCTCCGGAGTCTTGAAGTTTGGTTACGACATCCTAACTTGGGCAGCCACACAGCTCGCCATCTGCTACACCGTCATGCCTTTTCTACTGCTGGCAGTCGACCACACTCTAGTTTATTACAGGTATGTCCTACTTGGAAGCAGGAAGAAATGTGCAAGTTTAATAAACTGAGTCACTTTAAGCACATATGACTAGAAAACCTTAATGCTGTGATAGATTAGGGTCACTGATGGTGCTTCTCCTGGTCTCTTCTTTGGTCCTACTTTCATTAAATGGTTGCACAAACCAAATTCTTTTCTTTTTGGTTTAAGCAAAATTGGTTCTGACAATTTGGGGTAAATTATCCAACTCAGTCCAGTGTAATATTTTTTAGTGTGCATTTGTTTTGAAATGTGTTTGATCAGTTAAAGCAGTTTTATCTGATTTGGAATTTAAAAATGGAGGTTTGTGGGTTTTTGGATTTCATTGCTTTGAAGTTATAAATGTGGGATGTTTGCCATTTTATGTTATTCTTTGTACAACAACTATCTTGCTGCAGAGATGTTGCTATCCTCTGTTAATTTCAAGATCATTCTTGGGGCATTTTACCTTTATTTGACAGTTTAGGAACCAACAGGTAAATAAAGGGGTTACATGAAATGCCGGCTGGACTTTGCAGTTATATAGTATTTAGTCCTTACTTCCTGTATATGCAGAAGTGCATTTTCTGAAAGTTTTAAACATTTGAGATAACCAGTGGCCATGAGTTTGTGGGTGTTCAGTCTGCTCCATGGATATTATGGCTTGAGTTTTCATGGTCTTTTGCTACAAATCTGTCTGCAATGTTCAGTTTAAAGACGTATTTCTGAGGATCTATGCAACAAACTGTGCAACTGTCATACTAGAAATGTCTTCTGCTGCAAAGTTTAGATCAAAATGATTAAAAATACTCGTATTTATTGTCAATGTAATGTACAATATTTCATCTTCATAGGATTTTTTTAGGTGCAATATTTCATTATCATGTGATATGACTTAGCACTACCTGTTACTGTTCTATTCTAACTTTATTTTAGTTATATTTCAGCATTGTGACATACTTATATTTTATTGCTTTTCTACTTTTTCGACACTTTATGTTCAGTTTTTTCTGAGCAGTTTCTGGTACAAGAATTTCCTTCGGGCTTAATTAAGTTTTATCTTGTGTATTAAGAGGCTTTCAGTCACATATAATTGGAATGTCAAGAGCCACAACAAAGCCCCTTCTACTGCGTTATGACATTTTTTAAAGGTTAAATTCCTCATTTTTATATATGTACATACATAATCAAAAATAGTTGTCTCAAGCATGACATTTTGCCGCCAGCTCTATTTCATCATGTTACATTTTTACACTGATCAGTTGTGCCACTCTGCTTGTTCTCTTTTTTTTTAGGTCCATGTACTTCCACGTGCACATCATCAGCATTCTGGCTGCAGTCGCCCTCCATCGGAAACATAAACCCAGGGAACCCTCTGCCACCAAAGCGTTTTCCTCCTCCTCCTCGGCTCCGTGCTCAGCCCAGTGCCAGCCTGTTCACTCCAACAACAATGACAAAGTGGACTGAAAAGCCCCCTCTTCACGTTCTTTTACCAGCTTCTCGCTCCTCTCTCTCAAAAGACAAGTGAGTGTCCCCACTGGGCGACTTAAAACGGGGAAAACTTTGTGCTATTTATTTTTTGGGGACAATACAGACTAAAGAGATAGATGATGGTACCGGACAACGCAGGATTTCTCACCTGCGGCACTGAATACACACCAGGATGGAAAATTAAGGCGACGACGTTGAACTCAGCAGGCCGACTGTAAAGAGAAACACTAGCTGAGTGAACGCTGGCCTCCCTTCAACCTGCCCCCGGCTCTCTCCCCTCCATCCCACCTCAACACCAGCCTGCTCTCCCCCCCTCTCCTCCCCTCCGCTTACCAACAACAATGCAACAGTGTGAAGAGAGAAAATGAGGCTCACTTTCATTCCTGTCCTCCATCTGCACTGTCCCACTGACTGGTGGGATCCAAGCCAAACGCAGTGGGAGAGCAGCTCATAAACAGGCTGCAAATACCACAAAAACTCGTGCATAAGCAGACGCTGGGAAACAAATATGCACATACTCTCTCTCGGACGCGCTCGCACTCGGTCGCGCTCGGGCGGCACACAAAGGCCGCCCTTGTGAGGCCACAACAGAGCATGCCAAGAGGGGAGAGAGCTGCACCCGCTGCACCCAGATGATGTTGTAGATTCATGTGCGCCTACGTCCCACCATCGTTTGTCGGTGAAAAAAAAAACAAAAAACGATGGACTGTGTCAGTATTTCTACCACTGAAAAGCACATGAAATACTAATCAGACCCTGCAGCTCTCAGACTGTCTAGTGGAAGCATTAATATTTCTGATATGGTGACATTTTCAGGTAGCTCCTCCAGGTGAGGAAACTTTAGTTGTATCACTTCCTTGCACAGTTATAACAAATGAAACAATGGCAGAAGCACAAGAGTACTTCCCGTAGTTTAGTTAGCAACCACTTTCCTATCTTGTTTTTAAATAGTGACACAGTTGTGCTATCATGTGCACGGTGCTGGATACCTGCCATCATGATACAGTGAACAAAAAAGCTGTGGTGAAGCTGAGAGGAAATCCATTTGACTTTTCTCACTTTTCGGACACTTAAAGAATAGAAAATGTGACCCCGAAAAGAGGGATTTATAAGTCAAACGTGTTTCCTCTCAGTGGAAACACGGCACTGTGTTGGTCCTGTGGCTCTTTGTAGGATTGAGAGGTTGTTTTAACAGAGACATCTGGTGGTTGTTTGTGCGTCTGAACTGAGCTGAATGAAGTAATGAAGGTAAGTCATGTGTGACCGACTGGAACTGTCATCCTTCAGCAATGCAACTTCAAGCCAAACACCAGCTGATTTTTTTATTTTTATTTTATTTTTTTGTCTCCACCGGTATTACAATTTATCACTAGCTTTTACTTTTTGCACAGTTGAAGTTGACGAATATGTTGATCACAGAAGAAATGAGCACAGCGGGAGGAAATTAGCCCCGATGATGACGGTTTGGGAGTTTGTGGCACAGTGGTTTGAATAATAATGGTGCTACATGCAGGCTAGTGAGATAGCTCTGTTTATAGGTTTATTATAACGAGGTTTGCTAGATGAGCTAACCAGTTGCAATGCAAGAACTTTTTTTTTTTTTTTTTTTAAGAACAGTGCCCGTTTTCCTCGTGAAACTCTCTATAAAGGGGCTTCCTACTGAAAATGCATTTTCTTTCTGTGGGTAGAGCATGTTTGTACACCATGTTTGCCTGTTTAATCATGTTGGAGAAACAATCTCAATGCATTTTGTTACCTGCTTTGGAGTATAATGCCTGGAAAAATGTGCGTTTTAGACTTGCCTGTTATGTCTCAGTTTATATATTAACTCAACCCTCTAATTCCTAACATGTAGAGCCTTATTTTTGAAAGAAAACGAAACATCACAAACCATGAATCTATTTTCTTTTATATACATTTTTCAATCCTGACAGACAAATTAAATTTCTTATCTGTGCTGTGATGATGGAGTCGGGGCCACAAATGGCATTAACACTAGTTATTGAATAAATACCACAAGGGAATTATTCAAGATTTTAACTGTTAGGGAGGAAAATGCAAATGAACCCATCATGAGTCTACTTTAGCTAATTAGATCAATTTCCTTTATGACTAAATCTTTTATATCTTCAGCTATGTTGGATTTAAGATGCCACCATTTAATTTTTTGTTGATTATGCTGATGTTTAAATGCACATTAGCGCCGCTCATGGAGTTAATGAAGTGTCAATAATTACAACCCTGAGGACCCGAACACTGGTTATTTGTTTTGCAAGATGCCTTTTGCGAGCATTTAGACCTGAAGTCAACAAAATGTGCCGGTAAAAGGCTCAACGAGGGAAGCAGGTTGGCTTTTGCTATAATATAAAAAATAGAATTTCGTACATCTAAGCCGTTATTAACTGGAACTGTTGGATGTTGTTCTCAGTACCAAGTTCGTCTACATGTGTTTTTGTTTTTTTAGAACAGGGAACTGAGCAGTGAGTGACAAATACACAGTATGAATCTTTTGTCAGAATGAGCAGCTATTTGAATGATTTAATACTGATACTGAATTATTTTTTTGTATGTGTTTTGCAGATGTGTGTTATCTAAATGTACTGACTGTGAGAGTGTATGCGAGTTCTATTTTATTACTACCTTTGCTCCGTTTTAGTATTGATTGTGTGGAGAAATGAGTGGTATCAAAAAAAAATCTAATAAAGCTTCAGTGAAACAAATGTTTGGGTTTCATTTGTCTTTTTTTTGTGTCATTTTTGAATATAGTTGGTTCATTAACAGCTAATTAAACGCATGTTATTCTTGTATTCTGATGGTATAAATATAAAATCTGCATTTGAGGAGCAGGTACAGGCTCTGTTTAATCATTCTAATAACTCAGTGTCTGTTAATGTTCACAGTCGACTCTCTGCCTCAGCTTCAGCATCAGTTTGAAGCTTCTCTACGCGACGCTTCTCCCAAGATGTCAAACCTCTGATGAGCTCCCCAAAGTGGCTCCTTTTCTGTCCCTCGGGTCATTTCTCTTTTCCCATCCGACACAAATACACCCGTGTGTGTTCATGTGTTTTGATGCTGCCTGAGCTTGCACTCGACTAACGACGACCACACAGCGGGAGAAAGACGACAACAAACAGGAACATGACACGTTTAAACCCCTGAAACGCCTGCTCACGTTTAGATCTTTACAGGGAACACAGTTAACTAAACCTGTCGGTCCTACTCGGACAAATTGTCCTGCAAGGTGGAGAAAAACCAAGTTAAATGAACCGAGTTTCTGCAAACACAAGCAGCCATCCATGTCTATTCAGTGCACAGCTGGAGTTCATCTGGAGGGAACAGATAAGGCGAAGGTGTGGTGCATGGTGCAGCTATATTTGCAAGGCTGGTCAACCGCTTGTGATCCAAAGTATGAGTCTCTATTTTTAAGTTTTTGTGTGTATATGATATATATGGACAGTTGAGTTCTTTCTACCCATTAGAAATGTTGATTTACAGAGAATTTTTATTTGACCAATAGCTTTTTTCTGTCTGGAAACAAAATAATCAAGTGAGAGAAGATGAGGGGGAAATGTGTTTATGATTAATTTGAGCTGTTTCTATGTTTTGTTTTTTTTTAATGTTTTTACTAAAAATGCCATGCCCAAAATTATTATAAACATTAAAAAAAAATGCAGTTTTTCTACTATTTTAAATTGTCCTTTGAGAGCGTGTAAATGAATGACAGATTCTGATGCTACAATCACAAAGCAGACTCTACACAAGACTGGATGGACCAGGACTGCACTTCTCCGAGATGGATACACAAAAAAATGTGATAATTTGGGGGTGTTTTTCCATCCAGCGGACCAGATAACTTTCTCAAGGCAAACAGCATCAAAAGAGAAGAGGATGATGATAGGATTCTGGAGTAAAACAACAGATAGTCACAAGAAAATGATCCAAAACATGCAAGTGGCTAAGAAGCACGGAAAACAAAATCATCATTTTGAAGTGGCCCAGTCAGAGTCTTATCAAGAATCTGTAGAGGAAGCTAGACCAGAGTGATTCGAAGAAACCTTCCCACCTTAAAGACCTGCAGATCATCACAAAGAGGAACAAAATCCCAGTGGAGACATGTGGACAGACTGTTAGTAATCTTGTAGTCACTTATACGTGTAATTTCAAGGCAGAAGAAAGATATTGGTAAATAAAAATTGACTATAAATCAAAACTTGCCGTGAATAATTTGGGACTTAGCTGTACAATTCTGTCATGACACATCATTTTACTCTAACTGCTCAGCAAGTCTACAGGCTTTCTACAACTGGAACAGGGAGACAGAATTAACTTTGCCATTGCTCATGATAGTTGTTTCATGTTCTCTGCTCTGTACCAAATCATGTCACTCTCATTACTTTCTCCAGTATTGAAACACACAATTCCACTGATTGCTGCTGTAATGGCAAACTTTCATCTCCCGATTTTCTGCCTGGATTCAGTTTGCAATTAAATATGCAGCAGGTCTGTCTCTATTGCTATCAACCTATAAGAGAGCAGAGCAAAGTTAAGACACAGGTAGCAAAAAAATAAATGCTTGATCCTACATTCACAGAGAGAGACATTTGTCTTTCTAGTAAAAACTGTCTTAAACAAAAACCTAACAGAAGCCTGCCTCATTAAACCTCCTGCTGAGTTTGTATCGATGCTCCATCCACCTGCAACCTGAGGGCCTTAATCAAGCAGGAAAAGTGTTCAGAGTTAGTTTACAAACCTTCGTAGTCCACCTTCTGCAGCCATAAGAAACAAGCTGATGTCCGACTTCTTCAGCTTCCCCTGTAAAATAACACTGTCACAGCATTAGTTTGAGGATCTGCTGCTTGTAAAAAGATAAACATGTTGCACAAATCCCTCTTAAAAATCTAAATCTTTGTTGTAACCTAAAGTGTAAAATGCCATCATGCAAAATGCAAAAGACGTTCACGTGTGTTTAATCAAAGCAGAAAACATCACATGGAGACACAATCCTACGCTCGACTCTTCTACATTATGAGTATCTGAGTACTGTTTTAATTTCTCTCTTCTTTTTTACATATGTACACAGAACAAGTTTGGAGCATTCACCGAGCAACGAATGAATTTTTCACAAAATCTAGTCGCCTCTACTGTCACACATGTAGCATTGCTGCTAACACACAGGAGCACAGGGAGAAATCAGGTGTTTTCTGTCTGCCTGTCAGTAAAACTCCTATTTAATGGGAGATTTTTTGTCTTTTAACATGAGTTAGAGAACTGTCAGTCTCCCAACGGGTATAATAACGATCTTCTCTCATCATCTGCTTCTGTCTACACAAAATTCACATAGCTGGCCAGCTTACAACACAAAAAAAAACACTAGAAAATGTCGAGTGAAACAGGTTCTTCAGTGTGCATGCATTTGTCTGCGTCATGCTGTATTTAACAGATTAATTTCATGTGCTTTTTCCGTCGTCTTTAGCTGATTTGCAAACACAAACAATTCAAGATGAAGAGTTTCTGTGAACTGCAGCTCCTGTTTCCTTCCAAAGACACTCATACGTTTAGTGATATAGTGCATCCAGGAAAGGAGAACAGCCTCGATATTGTAGGGTTTTGACACGGATTATATTTCTACTACACATCCAAGATGGTCTCAAAGCCCCAGACAGGCTATTTATGACGCAATTCAAGGAGGAACAATTATTGGAAACCATTACTATCAACACATGTTGCCCATCAAGCCGCTATTTCCTCATAACATTCTTCTCCTTTCACACAATATCCACCACATACTGTGTCCAAATCTCCACAGGTCACATCTCTGCAGGGGGGTCCGCTACTTATTGGCGAATCTTGTTTTTAAAATGTTCATCAGAGCAGAAAAAGAGACTCCTTGTGCTTTTTAACTCTCATAAAAATATATTTTTAAAGTCACAAATGTGATCTTTTGCACATTAATCCAGCCTGAGTTCATTTTTTTATTACCTCCTGTGATTCTGCTGTAATGCATGACCTTACAACGTCGTTTTATGATCGGTACTTTTTATTAGTAGTGCATGCAAGGTGGAAATCAAGCAATCAGATCAAAAACCCTAACTACATATTTATGTTCATTTCTCTATACATTTTTCTTCATTTTTAATCTCTCTTTAGGATCACTGTTGCCCCACATAGTAAATAACAATCATATACAGGTTAAGTCTCCTTTGTAAATGTTTTTTGGAACTTTTTTTTTTTTTCAGTTGCAAGGTCCCCCCCCTCCCCGATGAAAATATGCTCACAAGGATGGATTTTGTGCTGACAAATACTTTCTACTCTTAATATCGTCCTCTGAGATGAAGCAAATAAACATTGAGAACATACATAAATACAAGTCTGAATGTTATAACAACGAAAAAAAAAAAGATAGAAGAGTAAATTCCATTTGGCGACACACTGCTGCTTCCGTTCAATTTGGAAAGAAATCTTCGGTGCAGATGCTGAGAAAATTAAAACCTGCATATCGCCTCGTTTGCATATCAAAAACAGACAAAAGCACAATTTTAAAGTGATGCATTAGCAGCTAAACTTTGGCAGTTTGAATGCTCAGAAGCGAACAGGTGACTTCTAACCAGATGTGGGACTTTTGAAGCTTTTCGACCAAACTGAAAGAAAACTACCTCTTTTCCACCAGCAGAGGGCAGCAGAACAGACAGTTTAATCAAGGAAGAACTGGACAGATAAGCCAAACATGTATTTATATCCATGCCAAATGTTGATATAGAATGATTTTTTTATTTGATAAATAGATGTATTCTGTGTTAGAATGCTCTAGACTACAGAACAAAAGTGCAAGATCATTTGGAATAGTCTAGAAACTATATTTTGTCCAAAATGTCAGATATTTTCAGAGGTTCTAAGTATGTTTGGGCTTGACAGTTTTAGTAAACATGTGGAAGAACATAGAATTTGGTACAATTTATCATCTAACACAACATCTTACCTTCTTCTGTCACTTGTTTATGTCATTTCCAGCCAGAAGAAACCCATTGGTCAAATAAAAATTCACTACAAATCAAAATACGGCTCGAGTATGAATTATTTGGGGAGTTGTGCGCTCATACAAGCGGTAACAGCCTTTTTTCCGAGGGTGAAAACAGGGTAACAAGCATCTCGCATAATGTAAAATTAAATATTTACCACCCACCAGGCTGTAGTTGTGGGTTGTTGGACAAAAGGTCAGGAAGTGTTGTGGTTGGGCTGCAGTGAGCTAAAGCAGAGCCGGACGCGATAAATCAAATAATATAGGAGTAGAGCAGGGAGGATCTCTGCAGATGGGACAGAGGTCTCAGGTGGTTCGGTGTTTTTCATCTCTCTGCCACAGATATCGTCTGTCTCTGCCTCTCGTTCCTCTTTTCGGCTTCAAACTGCTCTTTAAAAACAGTTTGAAACCACGCCGACCTGTTTACATACAGCACACATGGGAGATATTTTGGGAATCTTACTGCTTTGGCAGAGCTTGAAAGCATAGCTGGAGCTCCTGAATGACAAAATAAAGACACTAAATCAATCTAAAGCAGCATCATCAGGTGTTAGATATTGAACTGCCTGCAGCTGACTAGTTGTCTTGACATGAGGACGACGCAGAACTTTTTCAAACCTCATCTGGAAGCAGACAAAACTTTCCTCAATCCATCAAAAACTGTTGAGAAAACACAAAAAAAGGTCTTTAAAGCATGTTTTTAACACTGAATCGAGCCTTTTGCTTGGCTCTTCGTTCAGTCATAGCTAGAAAACAAGAAGCTTTCAATAAGATTTTTTTTTTTCAGAATGAGCTCTAACGGTTTCCTTGCACTGGTTCCAACATTTCATTGTGATATTTTTAAAGGGGCCCTCCAACTGCCAGTTACTGCACTTGCTAGTTGACCTTCTAGAGTCAGAGGTTAATATTTGTTCCACTGAACTGCCACAGGAGGCAGACAGGCCGCTTCAGTGTGTGTCGGATAAATAAGTTTTGGGCCTGTGGACGTCAGTCAGGACGAGGTGAGGTTACGGTGCGACAGTTAGCAGCAGTCCAAGCTTGTCTCTTGACCTGTTTCCTGTGCTTATGTTCAGAGTCTGCGATCAAATATTATCTAAAATCCTCTTCAGAATACCTTTGACAGCGTGACTGAGCCTTGCTGAGCGGCGGGTTCCACACACTCCTCCAGTCCACACGGCAAGACTCACGTTAAGTCAGATATTCGAACGGATTCCAAATAGTATTTGTCTCCGGCCGGGTTCAGTTTTTGCTGCTCTCTGTTGGAGAAGGAGGTGACGCCGTGTTGTCCTTCGCCTCCGTCTCGCCGTCTTTCTTCTCGTCATCGTCCTTGAAGAAGAGCAGAGGAAACATACCGAGGATGCAGCCGATGCCCACGCCGATGGCTTTACCCTGCACACGGGAGGGAAGTGATGATGTGATCAAGTTCAGGAAAACCCAAATCAGGTCAATGAGGTAATCCACAGAAGGATGCAACTTCAAATAATAATTTTTTTTTTTTTAAATCTTTGGCTGCCCCTCACAATTTACCACTAAACAAGGAAGCTTTATCATAATATTGCGCCAGTTCATTTCATGCACTTAAGACTGAACCAACACAAAAACACTGGAAACAAGCCACATCGTTATTTCTACACACTTTGACATCCATCATATTTTTGTTTGCATGAAAACAACATAATAGAAAGTATTTGCCAACACGCTGAGACAGTCTGCGTGACCTTTAACGGGCATCCAGGTGACGACTGGTGCTAAACCAACCACACAAGCTAATTACATTTCACACTCGAGCAGTCGTAGCATATTAAAAATCACTCAGGTCTCATTTTCCTTCAGCGTGAACAAATGATTTAAAGGCGACATCGAAGAGACCCGTGTTTCTGTTGTTGGTGCACGTGTGTTTCATGTTTGTGATTGTCCTGCGTAGTATTAACAGTTATAAAGCAAAGTCTGGTTTGGATCTTTTTTTTCAAACGAACCGAGTGAGAGCTGACTCTGGTCTGCCACATGTCGGCCTGCTTTGGGCTCAGGTCAGGAATCTGCATCCCCAACCGAGACGCCAGGGCCTCCACGTAACCTGCCAGCCTAAAGAGAGGAAGACGCAAAGAGAGACACGTAAATGAAACATAGTGCAGCGAACTGAAACGATATGAAGCAATAAATCACTTTCAGTCAGTGCTTCAGTGACCTTCTGACGGATTTGAAAGGCATCTGAAAAATTTATTACACCATTAATCAGAGACAGAAACTGTAAAATCTGTGAGAACGTTCAACTTTCCACCTGTCCTTGAGCGAATCATGTGTGACTTCTGGTTTCATTGGGAAAATAAAACAGATCTGAACTCAAAATATTTAATCAAAATCACTTTAACTTCCAGGTCTCATTTAATAAATTTGCCTAAAACCAACAGTTTGTATCTAATTCTGTAAAAGAAAAGAAAAGAATAAACTCTGCGCTCTTCGCTGCAACCATGAAACCACAATTAAATCAGGTGCAACCAACAATCATGTGACAAAAATTGCAAAACTTGTTGGATGAACTTAAGTAAATATTAAAATATCTATTGTATATGGAGTCACCACAGTGTTGGTAACATCTGCAGACACTTGGGAAAATTTTGTACATGGCGAATCCATTCCCCCAATTTTTGTTCAATAAATATCTAAAAAAATTAACTTTTTTTTCTAATTTCTGGTATTATGCTTGTATCATCCTGCACAGAAGACATTTCGGAGTTCTCCCCTTCTTTATGGTTCTTCTTTTTCCACAGAAAAAAGACTGTAAAAAATGTGACACTGCCTGGAGTTTGGAGTGTTTAAGGTGCTTTGAGAAGCAAATGAGCGGCCGTCCTTTTACTTTATCTCGTGACTATTTAGTTCCTTCTTTAATTGTGACATTTTATTCGATCCAGCAGCCCTTTAAAGCCGAGCAGAGCAACACAAAGAGCAGACGTGAATCCGCTAAAGTGGTCAAACAAATGAAGCGTGAACAGCCGTGAGAGTTTCTGAGCGCAGTGAAGTCCTTGGATTTTCTTCAAGTGTTATCTGAGCAAAAGAAAATCAAAGGAAATATTGTTAACATTGTGTGAAATGAAATGCATCGCTCAGAAAAACGTGGGTCGCACAAATTCACACTAAATTGGTTTTGTTAACGCTTCAGGCTAATACTGTAATTTGTATAAATGTAGATTAAACCGCTTATTCGTGTTTGCTTTCTGTAAGTTCACATAAAAGTTTCCTATTGATGTTTTTCTACATCACATGTCATGATTCATTAAACCGCCCGTGGAACAGCACTTTCCCTCCCACGGCAAGCAACGGAAACAACCAAAGTTATTGATAATCATGAAAAAAAATCAATCAGCAGATTAATGTTCCAATGTGTTCCGTGTTGCTGCCATCCGTCATGAACCCAGCAGGATGTTAAATCTCAGCTGAGACGACAGAAAAATCCTGCAGTGAGTATAAATGACATTATTGTTCACCACAAACTCATAGATCATCCAAAACTTTTTTCATTTTTCATTTCAGTTCCTATGTGTGAAGTTTTGTCTAATGTGGAGACACTGAAAAAAATATTAGAGATGTAAAAACATTGTTCTTGATGTGGAATATTTCTTGGACCCATTACATGTGGGAGAAAGGGAAAGAAAGTATAAGAATCAATATTTATTTGGGCCATAATTATAGTGAAATATGTCTTTTGTTATGTCTTTTTTCCTCCATGTTAATCAATGTTGTAACAATAAAAAATGACACAAAACAAGAAGGATGCACATGTAAAGCATGCATATTGCAGCATCAGGAGAATTCAAATATAAATATTAAAATCAGTTTTGCTCTGGGTAGGAATATAAACAAAACATGTCACATTCAAAAATATGTTAAATACGACAGCACTCTTTGTTCACCTGAAAAAGCTGCTGCGTCTCGTCCACACTGCTTGGAAAATGATAGGAGAGCAGCAGCACACCTCCCTGCAAAACACCTACAAACAGGCTGCTCTGCGCCTGGCCAACAAGATCCTGAGTGATCCGTCACATGCTCTGTACTCAGAGTATGAGCGGTTACCTTCTGGAAGAAGGCTCAGAGTCCCACGCTGCCGATTGAACAGATTTAAAAATTCATTTGTTTCGGATTCGATTAGGCTAATAAATAAGAAAAATAGCTCTAGCTGGACACAGGGGTAAACTGCAACTTCCAAAAGTTGATAAAACCCTCACGTGTCATTCAAAACCCCACTTTTAATTTAAAATGGGTCATGTTTACCCTCAATAACCCTTAATGATGAAGTAAAAACAGGTCTTTGCAAATTCATTACCAATCAAAACTGGGTGGGCATTTCTGTGTGGAATTTGGAAAAAGAAGGTGTAGTTTATGGATGGATGAATGAAATTTGTCATTTATAAAAATAACCAGATCCTCTGCTGTGGCGCTCTGAAATGCTGTCACATGACTGGAGTCCACTTGTCGCAAATTTAATAGGACACAGTTTAGCAAACACCTGACAGTTTACATTGCACATCAGGGGGAAAAAAAAACAGTCTCAGGAGCACCGTGACCTAAATAATTGTGAAATAGAAGTAATTTAAACCACCAGGACTCTTCTTGGAGCCAAATTGAGTCAGATGGCCCTTTCCAACAGTCACTAAGAGAGCGTTCTGCAGAGACCATCTCAGCTGCACTTTATCAGTCAGGCCTTTATGACAGAGCAGCTAGACGGAAACCACTCTGAGTAAAAAGCCAAATGGCATTTAAAGGACTCTGAGCCAGAAAAGAGATTATTTTTCCTCCCAGAGTTGCAGCTAATATGCTCACTAATTACTGTAAACAAAAGCAATAACATCATTATGACCTAAATCATGGAGAACTGTCACGTGCTGCTACATGTATGCTGCCTTCAGCTGCAGAGGAGTATTAATATTGTGTAGGTCAGCAGTTGGAATTTGAGAAAAGTTAATATTGTGACCCAGGTCTGGTTCAGTCACCGGCACTAATGGATCCTCAGTTCACTGCACACACAAATAAGCTGCAGCTGGAGCTGTCGAGTTAGTGGGAGCGATAAGGAGCAGGCAGCATGTCTGAGGCCAAGATAGGCCGGCAGAGGAGGGCTGTGCACATAGACATCCATCAGGATACAGCAGAAATAGCAGGAATAAGAGCTTTTGGGTCAGATGATGAGGAAAAGGAAAGGAAAAATTTGCATATGTTAGACAATCATTTTTACAACATTTGCATTGATTATACTGCTGCAAATGAGTCTTGATTCATGGTCACAAATGTCTATGTATGCATTTGATTTCGCTCATTAAAATCAACATTTAAGTGAGATAACTGGGACACAAATTATAGAAATGCTGCTGGGCTTTTTTTTTTCTTTAACCCCAATGTTAATAGCATAAACACAGATACAGTTGAAACCAGAAGTTTACGTACACTGTATAAAAACACACGTAACTTTTTTTTCTCACTATCTGACATAAAATGTGACTAAACTTTTCCTAAACTATTTGCTAAACACCACAATAATGAGAGAGAGAATTCTTCAGAGAATTTTTCAGAAGTTTACATACATCTCCTTAGTATTTGGTAGCATTGACTTTAAACTGTATGACTTGGGTCAAATGTTTTGGGCTTCCTTCCACAAGCGTCTCACAATAGTTTGATAGAATTCTGGCCCATTCCTCCTGACAGAACCGGTGGAACTGAGTCAGGTTTGTTGGTCTCCTTGCTCCACAAACCTTTTCAGCTCTGCCCACACATTTTCTACAGGATTGAGATCAGAGCTTTGTGATGGCCACTTCAAAACATTGACTTTGTTGTCCTGAAGCCTCTTTGTAACTAATCTGGTGGTATGTTTAGGGTCATTGTCCATTTGAAGACCCATTTGTGCTCAAGATTTAACTTCCTGGCTGATGTCTTGAGATGTTGCTTCAATATTTCCACATAATGTTCTCTCCTCATGATGCCATCTATTTTGTAAAGTGCATCTGTCCTTCGTGCAGCAAAACACCCCCACAACATGATGCTGCCACCCCCGTACTTCACAGTTGGGATGATGTTCTGTAACGATGGTCACTATGGCCAAACAGTTCATTTTAGTTTCATCAGACCACAGGACATGTCTCCAAAAATGACAGTCTTTGTCCCTGTGTGCATTTGCAAATTGTAATCTGGCTTTTTTATGTTGCTTCTGGAGTAATGTCTTCTTCCTCTCTGAGTATCCTTCCAGCCCATGTCGGTACAGGACTGGTTTCACTGTGGATAATGACTCTCTTACCAGCTTCAGCAGCATCTTCACAAGGTCTTTAGCTTTTGTTCTGGGGTTGATATGCACATTTTGCACCAAAACACTTCATGTCTGGGACACAGAACCCGTCTCCTTCCTGAGCAGTATGATGGCTGGACATTCCCATGGTGTTTGTATAATTGCTTGAACAGATGAACGTGGAACCTTCAGGTATCTGGAAGTTGTACCCAAGGATGAACCAGACTTGTGGAGGTCCATAACTCTCTTCCTGATATCTTGGCTGATTTCTGTAGATTTTCCATGTTGTCACAAAAGGAAGCAGTGTGTTGGAGGTGTGTCTTACAATACATCCACAGGTGTGCCTCCAACTAACTAACTAACTAACTAACTAACTAACTAACTAACTAACTAACTAACTAACTAACTAACTAACTAAGATTCACTCATGGACAAACACGTTGCGTCAGTTTGACTCAAATTGCTGCTTTCTGTTGCCAGTCTGTCTCTGTCACCAACCCCAACACTGAGTCTAATATTCTACTAAAGCTTTTACATTTATCTGCTACAAACCTCCAACTGTGAAACAACGCAGACGCTCCTGCCAAGTCCAATTCAGCCAAAAATATTTCACACACTTGCAACAGCAAAAAGCAAAAAATAAAATCAGGAAAATAACTGGAGTAATCAAAATACTGAGCTGATGAAATTTACTGAAAGCAGAGCTGGTGAAGAAACTGTGAGGAGAGTGTGTTCAGCGTGAGAAGCATGAAGGCTGAAACATGAGCTGCTGCATCACAAGCAATAAAAAACTCCACTGAAACATTTTATCATCTGG